CGTAGAACAAACAAAATATTTAATGTTATTTGAAAATTCTTATTGAATGGTCAAACAATATATAGCCACTATGGGAATGGATGCCTTCCAGTTTGAATTGGTTTTAACCTGAAGCGCATTAACAACTTACAGAGAACAGATTTATTGTTACCGTGGCATGTGACGTTCCATGTATAATCCGCTTGAAAATTAGAGTGTATGGAATACATATATATATTCCAGGCAATTTAGGATACTTATATATATATATATATATATATATAAGTATCCTATTCCAGGCAAGTTTATATAGGATGTTATCAGTTGCATAATCTCACTGATACGATTCTACAAATAAGGTGATAATGATCGTATGATAAAGGGACTGAGTTCCTTTTTTTTTTTTTTTTTGTTAATATACACAACTTGCTAATGTAATTTAAAATCATGAGTAGACTTCTAGACGTTTTGCTAATATGTGCATCAAAAGTCAATAATATATGTTATATATAAAGCTCCACAACTTGGCATGACCATGTTTGATATATACGCACCAATTACGACAAGTGGTCTAGTGGAAAAAAGCGAAAAACTCTTTATAGAAAAAAAAGGAGGTCCTGGATTCAATACTTTATAAGCTACGAATCTGCTTGATCGTACCCACATGTAAGGTGCAAATCCCAACTAATCTTCTCCAAACCCAAAAATAGTGGATAATCATGTCTTGCCACTAGTTGTCATTTTTTCATATAAAAAGAAGATGCATACACAACGCCCTAATGTAATTTAAAACATATGTAGAGAAGTTCTGATGTCAACTTCCTAATATGTACATCTGAAGTACTAAAGCCAATGGTATAAAACAGATGCATATTATATATATATATATATATATATATATATATATATATATAGATATTTCCTAAATTGTCTGATGTGATCTAAAACATCTTGCTGGATGGACCTCTCCAGCTAGACGTACAGTATCCTAAAAGGATTTCACCCAAAAAAACAATATCCTAAAGAGTAACAATTCATGGCCAAACAACACAAATCTCCCCAACAATAAAAAAATAAAAAGGAAAATTAATGAAAAAACTTAAAAACTTAGAGTTTTAATTAAAATGACAAAAAGGTGTTGTAAGTAAATAGTACAGGAATTGACTTTTTAGAGTAAAAATGTATTTTTCGTTAAAAATGAACAATATAAAGAGTGTTTTGTTAAAACTCCCATAAAAAGGTTTAATTGTCGCATCTAGGTGCCTTCTTCTTTTTATGTTTTTTTATTTTCATTTCTTACTCCTTTTTTTACAAAAAATTTCATTTGTAAACTCCTTCTTTTTTTATTTTTTTATTTTTTTTATCCTTTTCTTGAAATGTATCATTGTTGTTTAGTAGAAATTATCGAAAACCTTAAGTTCGATTCTTGTAGATAAATTTAATACCAAATACACGTTTGGCCCATTACGTGACTTAATCAAAGCCCAAATCCCTTAATGCAAGTATTTTATTGTGTTTAAAAACATAATTTTTCTCAAAAAAAAAAAAATGTTTCTTATTATTTGGGTTCATTTCAAATGCTTATCTAGGAAACACTTTCTCATCCACATCAACATTCGTTTGTAATGCAAAGCTCCCACTCTACTGTCTTTTCTAAACTTGTTTCTTAATGCATGGCAAAATAACACCTGTCTTCAATTTTTTCTTTCTTGAAAATGGATGAGGATGCTAGGAATTCTTACATTGTGTCTGTTCATAGTATATTGTGCGATCAGTTTTAGTTATGTATTGTTTATGTTTAATTTTAAATAAAAATATTCAAAATGATTTCTAACTGCACGAAGTACAATAAAAGGATAAGATATGAGGATCCTCATAAAGAGAATCCGGATGAAATCCAAATCGAGAAACCTTGGCAATAGATTTAAATCTAGGTGATTTTTTTTTCTTTCTGTGCTTTCACTCCACATTTGTTGTCGTGCATGGCTTCCACTCCACATTTAATTAAATTTGTTTCTTAAGCATGGCTAAATGACACTTGTTTTCATTTTTCTTTATGAAGCAACTGTAAATTGAGGGACCATGCAATAGATGGAATGGTTTAATTATCATAAGTATTTTGATTAATCATACTAACAAACCCTTGAATTCTAACGCTAGCCGCTATCTAAAGATAAAAACAGAAAGAAAAAACCCCTTGGCCATCGACCCTGACCCTGGCCCTGGCCATTAGCATTGAGAGTGAGCATAGGGTGGGTTGGTCGGGTTGGACTTTAACCAATAAGCTTGGTTTGCATTACTAAAACCTATTTTCGCCTAAGAAAATGGGTAAATCAACCCACCAAAATCGTTCTAAGGGTCCACGAGTTGAGAGTATTTTTTTTATTCTTGAAGTGAGTATGAATGAAGAAAATATGCTAAAATCATGTGATTTTGGTGTTGAAGAACATTAGGTGTTACTTAATATTTAAATTTCATTATTAAAATAAGTATAAATTTATCTGTGGACTCTCATAAGTAATTTTCTTTCTAAATTCAAAAAATTTGGAATGCACAATTACATTTTAGAGTATCAATAACAATTTTTTTATTTTTTTATTTTTTATTATTCAAACCCATTTGAATGCTTATCTATAAAACACTTTGCATCGATATTCGACATTCATTGCCTTGCATAGCTTCCACTCTACTATCTTTTCGAATTTGTTTCTTAATGCATGGCACAAGGGCTGATTTCGGTTTGGTAACCAAACCAAAAAATGCAAAACAAAACCGAACTGAAATTTATGGTAAACCAAAATTCAAAAATTGGATTGGTTTCTCTTCGTTATTACTTTATTTTTCCATAACTTCTATCATCACAACGTAGCATGTGTAAAAATTGTCAGTTATGTCTGTAAGAAAAGCTGCATTGTGGAGTTTATAACAATAACGAAAATGTAGGTTGATGGCAGTAACGAAGTCAAATATTTTCGATGAAAAAAAAAATTACGGCTTGCTCTCCCCCGACGGAGCCAACCCTCCTGGGATGCCGGAAACTGGTCTTCAAAGCCGGCAATTGGCATCTGATGTTGATATAGGCCTTTGATGCCAGCAATCCTCCCATCGGTCCTCTGCGTACACAGGCCCTCGCACATAATTTCCAATACCTATCCTCCATGAGATGTGATCTAACAAAGTGGAGATTGTGTGCCGTTAGCGTCATACAACAAACAAAATATCTTAAGTTATTTGAAAATATGTAGCTTTAATTTTCTCAAGAGGATGCCTTGTTGAACGGTCAAACAACGTAGAGCCGCTATGGGAATGAATGCCTTCCAGTTTACGATTCTGCAAATAAGGTGATGATGACTGTATGACAAAGGGGCCTAGTTTTTTTTTTTAATTTTTTTTTGTTAAATACACAACTTGCTAATGTAATTTAAAATCATAAGTAGACTTCTAGACGTTTTGCTAATATGTGCATCAAAAGTCAATAATATATGTTTTTCTATTTTCATTTCTAACTCCTTTTTTTACAAAAAATTTCATTTGTAAACTCCTTTTTTTTTTTTTTTTTTTTTTTTTTCTTGAAATGTATCATCGTTGTTTGTAGTAATTATCGAAAATTTTAAGTTCGATTTTTTGAGATAAATTTGATATCAGCTAAATCCGGATGAAATCTAAATCGAGAAACCTTGGCAATAGATTTAAATCTAGGGGATTTTTTATTCTTATGCTTTCACTCCACGTTTGTTGTCGTGCATGGCTTCCACTCCACATTTAATTAAATTTGTTTCTTAATGCATGGCTAAATGACACTTGTTTTCATTTTTCTGTTTGAAACAACTGCAAATTGAGGGACCATGCAATAGATAGAATGGTTTAATTATCATAAATATCTTGATTGATCATACAAACAAACCCTTGAATTCTAACGCTAGCCGCTATCTAAAGAGAAAAACAGAAAGAAAAAAAAAACCCTCAGCCATCGACCCTGGTCATTAGCATTAGGAGTGAGCATAAGGTGGGTTGGTCGGGTTGGACTTTAACTAGTAGTCTGGGTTTGCATTATTAAAATTTATTTTCGTCCAAGAAAATGGGTAAATCAACCCATCAAAACCGTTTTAAGGCGGATTCCACGAGTTGAGAGTATTTTTTTATTCTTGAAGTGATCAGTATGAATGAAGAATAATCCAGATTATGTCATATTATGCTTAAATCATGTGATTTTGGTGTTGAAGAACATTAGGTGTTACTTAATATTTAAATTTCATTATTAAAATAAGGTATAAATGAACATGGGTAATGAATAACTATTATATTGTATGCATATATACACATGTGGATTAAGAATTGTTGATGTTCGGGTAGGTTAGTGGCGATCCTTCTTGATCTCTTTCATCATTTTCTTTACATGTTTCTTCTATCTTCAAATCATCTTTACCTTTAGTTGTAATCGTTCTTTGCTCTAACGAGAAGAGTCTTCGTAGTTGTGATCGCTCTCTTACTCTATAAAGGAGAGTCTTTGTGTCGTCTATAGCTTAGAGATCAAACTCAGGTCTGATATCCAAAAAAATCGAAACAATTTCTCAAATTTTCCTCCAAATGAAAAAAGTTGAGAGCAAACCATAAAAAAATCAATACAACCCGAATAGGATGATAATGTAAGATTCAAACGGGCCCTACTAACATCCTCAGAGGATGATAATGTAAGTTTCAAAACCTCACGAAATTTTCTGAAAACATAGAAAATCACAGGGGTATTAGTGCAAAGAAGCAAATAGTAAAAAAATACCCCTCTCCCTCCCTCTCCTCCTCCTGTACTCTGTGTAGTGCATACAAAACCCTAGACGCTCCCTCCAACCCTCTACCTAATTCACCGCACCTTCCTCCTTAAATTCGTTTCCTTTCAGACACCAAAAATGAAATTAATTAATTAAATTAAATTAAATTCACAGTTTCCTTTTCTCCAATCACTTCCCAAAATTTGCCCTTTCTTTCCATTTTCTGCATTTATATAAAAATTGAAATTTAATTTTTATATAAATGCATAAGCGATCTGGTGGGACGGCCCCGGAGCCGGTGCGCACGAGCGGAAGGCTGAAGGGTCGAACGACGCCGTACGGGCGGGGCATATACTACTACACCACAAGCACTTCCAGGAAGATCATCCAAAAGCGGAGAAACCGGAAGAACAAGACCAAGACCCGAACCGCCGCTTCCCATATCGCTAAGATAATGCGCCATGGCGGCACTCCTCGTCCCCAAAGATCCACCACTCCTCTCCCCTCCAGCAACCTCAATGTAAGATTTGACTGATTTCGATCAATTTTCGGCTTTTATCGTGGATTTTGCTTGAATGTTTGAAACTTGATTGGGCAGCATTTGCATTGGTATATGGATTTAGGTGTATTGATTTTTGATTGGGTATCTGCATGTTTGATTTGCTTATTTTATCTACTTTTGTTTTTGCATGTGGCTTAATTAATTGGTCAGGGTTAGGGTTTTTAGTGATTTTCCGGGAAAGCTGCAAAAATTTTACTTGATTTGGGGAAAAAGTATGGTGGATTCCGTAAATTCGGAGAAAGCTTAGAGAAGGTTTGGAAAATTGGGTTTTAAGTGACTTTCCTCAAAGTTAAGGTTTCGGGGAGGAGTGGAGAGGATTTATGGCTTTATATTTTCATATTTCCCGACGTGCAAGATTGGTAGTAAATATAGAATATCAGACTCAGTTCCCATTTTTCATTTGAAGACTCTGATACATATATACTTTTGTTTTTCTGCATTTGTTTGCAGGCAGATGCATCCAACCTCCGGCGCTCCACAAGAAAGAGAACGCTGTCAATAAGGAACCGGGGCGACTACATAACAGACGACAGTTCTGGAAGTGAGCAGGATGAAGATATAATGGTGAGGTTTTATACTCAATGCATGTAGTTTATAAGAACGTTAATTCTTAGTCAGGCTTGATTGAAGCGAAGCTTGTAAAACCTGATGTGTTGTCCGAACTGAACCTGTGCCCTTTTTTGGTTTCAGAAAGTCAGGGGTAAATCGATCAAGAATAAGGTTGATAATAGTTCGTTTAAAGATGAGTTGCCATCTCCCAAGCACAAAAAGATGGTGGAGACTAGACATACACCTCGTCGTGAAGGATTGCGCCCTCGACGGTTCAATTCCGCTAGAGAACAATTGCATTTGCAGTTTGATGATGAGCCGGGTACTTCAGATGAGAAGATTGATCAAGATGAAACCGAAAATGGGAATGACATTGAATACAATGATGCAGATGATGCTCAAAATGAAGCTGATGGTGAGGATGTTGGTGATGGTGATGGTGATGGTGATGGTGAGGGTGATGATGATGGTGATGGTGATGGTGATGAAGACGGTGATGATGAGGAGGGTGATGAAGAACAAGATGGACGAAGACGATATGATCTTCGAAATCGTGAAGATGTCCGTAAGCTGAGACCAAGATCTCCTCGTAGAGTATTGCGTCAAGGAATGGGGACAAAGGTCGGTAGGGATGTGAGAAAGGGTGGATCACGAGTTCATAAGCGCCATCGTATGACAAGGACAGATGATTCTGATGACTCCCTTCTTGTCGACGAGCTAGACCAAGGACCTGCAATTCCCTGGGCCCGAGGTGGGAGCAGATCTGGACCACCTTGGCTCTTTGGAGGATTAGACATGCATGGAACAACAGCATGGGGATTGAATGTTGCTGCTTCAGGTTGGGGTCATCAGGGTGATGCTTTTGCCACCTTAACATCTGGAATTCAAACTGCTGGGCCAAGTTCAAAGGGAGGGGCAGACATACAACCTTTGCAGGTTGATGATAGTGTGAGTTTTGATGATATAGGTGGGCTTTCTGAATATATTGATGCTTTGAAGGAAATGGTTTTCTTTCCTCTGTTATATCCAGATTTCTTTGCAAGTTATCATATCACCCCACCAAGGGGGGTTTTGTTATGTGGTCCTCCTGGGACTGGGAAAACATTAATTGCCAGAGCGTTAGCCTGTGCTGCATCAAAGGCTGGCCAGAAGGTCAGCTTTTACATGCGGAAGGGTGCAGATGTGCTAAGTAAATGGGTGGGTGAGGCTGAAAGACAATTAAAACTACTTTTTGAGGAAGCACAAAGAAATCAACCTTCGATCATATTCTTTGATGAAATAGACGGACTTGCTCCTGTAAGGTCCAGCAAACAAGAGCAAATTCACAATTCTATTGTCTCAACTTTGCTTGCTTTGATGGATGGTCTTGATTCCCGTGGCCAAGTCGTTTTGATTGGAGCAACCAACCGGATCGATGCAATTGATGGAGCTCTGCGGCGCCCTGGTAGGTTTGACCGCGAATTCAACTTTCCTTTGCCTGGCTGTGAAGCACGTGCTGAAATTTTAGACATTCATACTCGGAAATGGAGGAATCCTCCTTCAAAGGAGCTAAAATTGGAACTTGCAGCTAGTTGTGTTGGATATTGTGGTGCTGATTTAAAGGCTCTTTGCACTGAAGCTGCCATTCGTGCTTTCCGAGAAAAATATCCTCAAGTTTACACAAGTGATGATAAGTTTGTAATCGATGTTGATTCAGTAAACGTTGAGAAGTATCACTTTGTTGAAGCCATGTCAACAATTACTCCAGCTGCTCACAGAGGTGCTGTTGTGCACTCCAGGCCATTGTCTTCAGTAGTAGCACCATGCCTGCAAAGGCATCTCCAAAAAGCCATGAAGTATATATCCGATATTTTCCCACCTCTTGCAGTTTCATCACAGTTGACCAAGCTTTCCATGCTCTCCTCTGGCTCTGCAATTCCTCTTGTCTATAGGCCTCGGCTTCTGCTATGTGGTGGTGAAGGTTCTGGCCTGGTAATTATCTTGAATCCTCTCTCTATTTGCACATTGTTCAGAATGGAAAGACAAACTAAATTTACTTACTGATTTAGTTTTACAGGATCATCTTGGGCCTGCTGTTTTACATGAACTTGAGAAATTCCCTGTTCATTCTTTGGGACTTCCGTCTCTTCTATCTGATCCCAGTGCAAAGACACCAGAGGAGGCACTGGTACATATATTTGGTGAGGCAAGGAGAACAACTCCATCAATTCTCTATTTGCCTCAGCTCAATCTTTGGTGGGAGACAGTGAGTGCATGCTAATATTTTCATATCAATGTTAATTAAATGGATGTGCATGCTCTTTTTGTCTTCTGTTTTAAGCTATTTGAGGTTGGTTGATTCATTGTGCAGGCACATGAGCAGCTCCGAGCTGTTTTGCTGTCGTTGTTAGAAGAATTTCCGTCTGACTTGCCAATATTACTTCTTGCAACATCATCAGTGCTACCTGCTGAAGTTGACACTGCAGCTTCTTCAATATTTTCTGATCGTTCTATGTATGTTATCATTTATTTAAAAACCAATCTTTATTTGTTAATTTAAATTCTGTATTTCTGTTTGATACATACTTAAAAGCCAGTCTACTTTATGCATGCTTGCTGTATATATTCTATGGAAAACCAAGGTCTTGAGGGAAGTTTTATAATGCTGCCCTAGTTTTTCTATCTTAATATAACAACCTATTAAAAGTTTGAAAAAAAAAAAATTATATCAACTTTTAAAAAGAGAAGGTGTGATTGGGTTTGACTTAAAATACGAATTTGAATATCCATGTTGGAAATTATTTGTATTTGGAAGTATATCAATTTGTGTGTCCTTCATGAAGAAGAATGGGTGGCTTTCATTAGTTTGATAATTTCTTGACCTCCACAGATCAGGAACCCTGGCCACCCTGGTCATTAGTTTATCTTTTAGTTACCCGTAGGTACTACACATACACTACCATGGTGAACTTCCATTCGGGGTCTGTGAAACATGCTGGTTTTGACATAAAAATTACTCCTGTATTATTTCTTGTGCGCTATTCTGAAAAAAGTTATGATGACAGAAGTAAAGGTTTTGTGTTGATAATTATGTTCTAAGGAGAAAGAAGGCTAAACTCATAAACGTGTGGATGATTGTGTAATCACATTCAAAGTTCAACTGAACAGTGCATGAAAGTGGATTCAAGCCTATTGAAAACGTAGAATGGCCTGAGGTTTGTGGTGTGCCAAGTTGCCATTCTCATTCCTCAACCATAATAGTCTGCATTGTAGGTCTTAGATTATCATTTCTTGATTCACCATAACCCTGTTTTTAAGGTTATAACTTCTTGAAATTAATGAAAGAGGCATGAAGATGAATGGAGTACTCACACAACATGTCTTTAACAACTAAGCCTCTCCCTTTGCACTCTTAATAAACTACAGAAAAAATATCTCATCAAAGGATTGCACATGCAATTCAATATTCATGTATTTTGTGATTGCCTGGTGGTGTCTTAAAACTTTTGTTTTGAAATTTTTACACAGAATGTAATACGTATTTCACTATTACACATAAATAATAAACTTAATCTTTATGAATTTGTTCTCTTACTACATTTGTGTTTTGAAGTTAGTTCATAAATCCTCTTTTATAATTTGTTAAAAAGTACTTTTCATGCCTGTGATTTTTAATCGTACTTCTTTTTATTATCAGCTATCAGTTGGGCAAACCATCTACTGAAGACAGATATTTGTTTTTTGACTGTCTCATCGAAGCTGCTTTATCAGTGTTGTTAGAGGAGATAACAAAAAAATCCCAGGAATCAGTATCTGTTCCAGAACTTCCCAAGGCCCCAAAAGTGGCAAGTGGTCCGAAGGTCTCGGAGTTAAAAGCCAAGGTAGAAGCTGAGCAGCATGCTCTTCGCCGATTGCGGATGTGCCTCAGAGATGTTTGCAACCGGTTAGATAATCTTTGCTCTCTCCTGTTGTCCCTTTTAGATGATTGGTGTATCTTCTTACTGATTAGTTGCATGTAATGTTTTGTCATACTTCCACATTCTTTCCTGTCCTGCTCCATAAGGAGTATCTGTTTTGCTTGAATTGGAATTTTGAGGCCTATGTTTGGTTAAGCTTTTTCTTATTGTTGGTTGACACTTCATGCTAATGGGAAGAGGGGTCTTTGTTCAAATGCTGCAGGCTTTTATATGATAAGAGGTTTAATGCTTTCCATTATCCTGTCTCGGATGAGGATGCTCCAAACTATCGCTCAATTATTCAGAACCCTATGGATGTGGCTAAGCTGCTGCAGTGCGTGGACTCTGGGCAGTACATTACATGTTCTGCATTCCTGCAAGATGTTGATCTTATTGTTTCCAACGCAAAGGTGTGTGTTCCTTGTTGTAATTTTTGTCTGTAAATTTATAGTAAAATGACAGTTGGTAGACTGAAAGGACCAAGGTCGTCAATTTATTTTTGTTTTCTTTTTGGTCTTCATGACTTGCTTTTTATCTGATTTGTGTTCTTTCTCTGTTGCCTCATTGCATGACATTTCGTTTGCCTTGGCTTTGTCAAATGGGTCTATGCTGGTCGATGTTAAGATGCATGGTGTCGTATTGTGATTCATCATTCATTTATATAGGAGGCATCAAACCCTGATACTGGGAATTAAAACTTCTTAGTGTTTCTGAAGTAACATCGTACTTTCACTTTTGAGTTCTGATTTTATATGTTGTGCAAAGGAAGCCCGAACTTTTTGTAATTATTGTGTTTGTGTTGTAAATTTTATCGTGCTTCAGTTTGATATATTCTGCTGTCTTGTATTCAGGCTTATAATGGAGATGATTACAATGGTGCTAGGATTGTCAGCAGAGCTTTTGAGCTTCGGGATGCAGTATGTTTTTTTCTTTCTTTCTTTCCAATTTTATTTTGAGGCTTTTTGCGTTTGCATTTCTTTGATGCACTATTCTTCCCTTCAGGTACATGGTATGTTGTCACAAATGGACCCTGCACTTGTTGTATATTGTGACAAGATTGCAGCTCAAGGTGGTCCAGAACATATTCCCGATGATTTAGGGGTATCTACTTTCCCCTCTGTACCTGTTGTGCAGCTGGGAACTGTCACCAGGGCAAGTGCTCGACTTCGTAATGTCCAGGTGGATGTAAATCTGGATCCAAGCCATGAGTCTCAGAAACGGCCGAAGAAGCATGTTGAGCCTGCACATGCAGGTAACTCTAAATTTATTCATGTCTAAATGAGTTTTGTAGTTTTTGTTCAAATGAGTTTTATAGTTCAATATGAAATTTAGCATCCGTAGTTGGACCGTTTTAACCGAGTCTGGCACTGCTCTTCGTTTGCCCCTACGATTTTGAAATTCTTATTTCCGAAAGTCCTCATAACAAAGAAGGCAAAACAGATTGAACTAAACAATGAAAAACAGGTGAAGAGTGCTGAAAAACTTATGTTCTGCCCCTCTTTACCTGTTGTTCATCTATTAGTTCAATATCTGTTCATCTATTATTACGTGTACTTGTGTACAAGGACTGTTATTTATTATTAGTACCAAACTGTTACGAATATATAGGGTTTAGAATTACTCAAATCTGTTCATTAATTTACTGTCTTGTGGAGTTCCAGGACATGTGTGTATGCGCACTTTGGTAATTTGCTAAGCTTTTTGAGTTGAAAGACAGTTTTCTAATTTTTTTTTCTCTTCTACGGATGCTTGAGTAATTCTCAATTTAACTTCTTGATGCGAACTTTCCTGATCATAATCAGGTTCGACTCCAGAAGACAAGTCAGAGCATCAAGATTCAACACCGTTGAAGACATCTCAGGAACCTGAGACGAATGACACAAATCCTGAAGTCCCAGAGTCCTCTTCTGCTGGTGGCAATCAGCTTGAGACCCCTGTAGAAGTTTCCGGCCATGCTGATATGATTGGATCCCAAGACACCATCATGAAAGATGGTGAGGTCACAAACCAAATAGAGTCAGTCAGGCGGCTTTTTGTTGAAAGGACTGCAAACTATGACATTCCGCAACTCGAAAGGCTGTACACAAGAATTATGAAGGCCATTTTTGACATCAAGCACAAAGGTGACATAGATGGCACCAAGCCTTCAATTTTGAGGTACTTACTGAAATATGCAGAGGATGAAGCAAATTTCTGACTTCTAAACAACAAAGGAAATTCTTTAGTCAGATGTAAAGTCGGGATTTTTTTTTTTTTTTCATTGCAAATTTATTGAGTGAGAGCTCTCTCTCTCTCTCTCTCTCTCTCTCTCTCTCTCCCCTCCCCTCTCTCTCTCTTGCAAATCTTTTTATTGCAAAAATTTTAGTGATAGATCTTTCATCGCGTTCAATTATTAATATTTACGTCTTATTGATGTCCATGCTCGACCCCAATTGGAACGCGAGATTCGATCGCCACCCTGCGAGTAATGATCGTGGTCACAAACTTGTTTATCGAAGCAGTGACGTTGTTAGATTGAATGAATTGAAAGATATCAATGACCAGTAATTAACAAGGGCGTGTAAGAGGTGAAAATGGTGGTGAAAATTGCATCAAACTTCCAAATTCTGTCGGAACGTAATAATTTCTATATAGATTTGCCAAAACAAACCTCGGAAGAGTTCCCGTGATTGATGCAACATTGGCACTACGAGTATTGACAATTATGACACTATCCAGATGCAAAATTGAGTTTTGACAAACAACTCGTAAATTATTTCCATAATGTGTCATCTTCGTTCCAAACGTCTTCAAGTACAGGAACTTATCTCTTCCCTGTCAACTCTTGTTGGAGGTTTCTAAGCAATGCCTCTCGACTTGTTAGTCCAGTCTTTCTGCAGTTAACACTAACATCCGACTTAACATTGAATTGACGTCAAACACGAGACAATGGACTTGTTTGACATAAATCTCAAAAGTCGAGTAACATCAAGTTTGTTAAGGTTTTCGATAATTTTCCATCGGAAGGTTTAGGAAACCTCAAACCAATCCACTGCTCCGATTCAAACTATGACGTTAAACAATCCACACGACACAGATCAGAGGCTAAGCAAATTTTCAATAGTCAAACAACGACGTTAAACAATCTACTGCTCCGATCCAAACTTCACTGAAGCACAACAAAAACCTACTAGAAGTTATGGTGAGTGCAAATGCAATGCACTTCCTATCTTGTCAACGAAGAACCTTGGAAATTCTATGCCTGCCCTGCCGTACTTCGCAATTTTGCCAAAACTTGTGCTGCAGCCGATTCTCTTGCCTCACGAGGATTTGAACACAGGCCACCCACACTTGAACACTCGAAATCCATCCCTTTTACTGTAACATCAGCTTGGAATCCACCTTTCAAACGCAATTAAAACATTAGTTTTTAACTCTGCATAGCAGTAAATCAATCTTCTAATGCACAATTCTTGTGAGGATCTTCTAGGCATAAGGTAAATCAACAAGAAAATTTCAAAAACACAGAATTAACAGTGTCTGCAGAAATCAGAATAATCAGTTTTTCGAACTTATGCAAGTTCTAGTCAAATCAACAGCTTTACACAGGTTGAAACAGCCGAAAGGAAGACCCGCCAACTTTTAATGTTTGAATCTTTATGTTTTGGGATTTCAGTACATTGCTAAAATATATCTAAACGGAAAACTCAATCACTCATTATATAGTAAGCAAAAGTTCCTTGTAACACAAAGTGCAGGTACAACTACTGGATCAGTGGTGAGCAAACATAAAAAGTCATCCTTGTTTTCATATAGGAAAATCACCCTGTTTAAAATCGGTTTAAATGAAAATGATCTTACCGTCTGATGGAGATACACGATAAGTTGGTAATATCCAATTGTTGTCATAACAAGCACCATCCAATTCCTGCCAGGTAGGTGGTAGTATGTGTAAGAGGGTGCAGGAAATAACATGTGTAAGATACTATTGAGTGAAGATTTCATCGAAGCGCTATAGACCCCTACATTGGAAATCAACTAGGACAAAATGCCAAAGCAGACAGTGCAGAGCTCATTGGTGGTTTATAAGTTGAATTCCACAGCAGTTCCAATGCTCAAAGAATTCATAAAAGCAAAAATAATAGCAACACAACAGTTCAAATACAGACTACATACTCGGCCATTCTGGAACAATAACAAAAAGGTGATAATAAAGAAAAACTAAATGCCCAACATGCTTTTATCTCGAGATCAACACCAAAAATCAGTATGGATAACTAGACAAAAAAAGAAACACCATGATGTTTGACTAACTGACATGCTTCACACTGACGAAGACTTGAGGTAACAGACATAGGTAGGAAGGAAGCCATAAAATCTAAAAGGTCATCCCTTCTCATGCCTCGTGGGAAGAAAGTTACTGACAACAAACTCTTTTAAACGCTGAGTTTCACAAGCTACAATCAACCTTGTGTGGAATTTTCACTTCTCAGAAACAGGAAACTAAAACAGATTTTTGCCACATCAACTAAACCGAAAACCTTCAGAACTTCAAACCAACACCAAACAACCAAGGAAGTGATGCATCAGGAAGGGACGCACCAGTGAACAAGCAAAACGCAAAAGAAAAAAATAACCACTACCCACTCAAGATATTCTAGGAACAATAAAAGGATTCTGCTCTTGCTTTGTAACCAGAGTCAGACAACCTAAAAAATTTCGAAAACTTCAAAGTCATGCAAAAGTTTTTCCTTTCTCCCTCCACAAAGCACAAAAAGTATCAATGAATAACTACATGAATGGTAAAACACCCAACAAATAACTCGCAAAACATCATATACTTCATTTGAGTTCGAAACAGCTCAAAATTTGTTTGTTCAGTTTGTCCTTATGGTCAGAACTCAGAATTTGTTTATCGGACGAAAAAAAAAACCCCTGTAGATTTCTCTCATAGGATTAAAATGGAATGCATATAATGAAGAACCTATAAGTCTCAAGTCTCCAATGACATATGCAATGTGAAAGAAAATAGAATCCAACAGCAGAACTTGCCTGGCATGGATTTTTCACGCTGAGAATAGCCTCTGACAACCTCTTCCTCTTCACATTTTGAGGAGAGCATTGATCTTCATGCAGTCTACAGTTCCTTTCACTTCTTGCGTATACATCATTACAAGCTTCTATTATGGAGTCTACCTTTAGAGCCAAGTCATCTTCCCCACCTATGGTAGTCAGTAAAACAAAAACCCAAGTATAGATCAGCTACACTCACTGCAAAGGAGCCCTACCTCTAAAGATGTGGGTGGAATAAGCTACAGCCCTTGCAATTCCAAGTCTTGTCTTTACCAATCAATATAGACAACAGTGATTCATCATGTGGCCCAAAGTGTGCTAAGCTTGAAGTTCAAACAAGGAACACACTTATAAAACTTTTTAAGTGGTTATAAACAAGGTTTTTGCAAACTCCTTAATTGGCGTGGACTATGTGCCAACAACTTTAAATTTGATGATATGTTTTTTGAAGTGGTCTATAAATTATGTCTATATCATAATTTGAGGCCAGTTGAAAGTTCACTATTTTGGCATCAGCTTCAATTATCTGTTTAATAAGTAGGAGGAACAAGGCAATTAACATATTGGGTATATGTAGTTGTTCCATGAGCTGCCATGATTTTAAAATTTTGTTTTTAACGAAAGTTATGCACAGATGAAGTTAATTGTGTTATGGTATTTCTTTACATCATCAATGCACAAATGTCGCCAAAAATGTATGTACACTATCACAAATTAAAATGACATCAAACATAAATTAAAAAAAAAATAAATTAAATTTAAGTTGTAATGATTGGACTTTCTCGTACACAAAATAGTACATTTTAGTGTGTAAAATAGAAAGTGAAAGAAATGATCAGGCTGAAAGGGCGAGGGAAAGAATAAACATATAAATAAAATAATTAAAAATGGGAACTGTTATTGGCATTCCAAAAATCTTATTGTGCATTCTAAATTTTTTATATTTAGAAATTAAAATACACTTGTGAGGAGTACACAACGGGATTTTTGGAGTGCTAATAACAATTCCCTTAAAAAAAACTTAAAATAGGATAATACCATATAAAATTGTCTGGATTTTTTTATCACACTGAGCAATCTCATCCTCTAATTTGCGCTGCTGAAGAGACTGCATGGACAAGCAAATGAATCGAAATAGAAAAAAAGATTTACTTTAGATCAAGGTATAACTAGTAAAGCAAATATGCTACAACATAAGACCAATGGAATGCAAGACAACATTTGCTAGGTCCACGAAGCAAGTCTCTTGTATATTTGACTAACAACAAGAACAAAGCCTTATCCCACTAAGTGGGGTCAGCCTCTTACATATTTGACCAAATCAATTTATTGAGGAACTGATGTACAACACTGAACTTTGAAGGAAGTAAATTTCAAACAAAGGAAAATAATTTTCACACTCCCCTTTTGTCTTCCTAGACTTTCCCGCTTGTTTTTGTGCCCTGATTCACTGTTGATTTATTCAATCATGTAGCTAGAAACAGGAGGGGTAGTATAAAGCAGATAAAGAGGGAGTGCAGAAATCATTTCATGCAAACAAAATGTCATTCATATTTGGTAGATGTGACTGGAATGTAGTAACTTCAGTGGTGCCAAACCACTAATGCACTTCTGCTGAGGCTACTGCCAACAATCTTTATCAGAGAGGACATAAGTCCACTGGACGTTGGAATAATTTGTTCAACAATCTTCACATGCACATCCCACATCCCAACAATCTATGGATAACTAATTGACTTCAGAGAGTTATATGCGTATGTATATGATTATTTAGAAGGAACTCCTCCTAATAGATCAAGAGGATAAAGTGACTACGAATGGAACAAAAAAAATTATTACCAGATCATCCCTCCTTTTCATAAGAACTCCCAATGCAGTTTGTGACAAGATGTTTCCTTTTGAAGCTATAGCAATCTGTAGTTTTTCAAGATCTTGAGAACCAGATTGACAGGTGACAAAGCCATTTTGATCAAACGCGTTAATGGTACAGATCTCCTTTCCAGAAACAAGGTTTTCAACTCCGCAGTCAGTAATGAATGGCCCTGTTTTCGAGTTCACCACCTCAACCTGCCCACCCAACAACAGTATATCCGATGATACAGAAATAACTTTAAAGCAAAGGAGTGTAACTAGGTACAAACTCTAAAGATTCCAGTCCTGATGAAACAATAACTCCTTTGACAATCAAACATTGAAGTGTGTTCAAGTACATTAAAATCTTGCAATCTTTTTTCTTTGATCAAATATTTTAAATCTAAGTAAAAGGTTGGTTAACAAAAACAGGTGAACCCTTTCTGCCGAAGGAAATGAAACTGAAGATTTTATTTTATATAATAAACCTTACAACAATTTGAGTACTATAATATATATAGAACCCAAGAATATTAAGTTCATGAAAATGTCATCATGTGGACACTCTGCAGTCTATAGTTTGCAAGTTATAACACCCTTCCAACAAAATGAATCAAATTTGTACTCCTCAAATTCACTTTTTACTAGTTTGTTTTCTGATAATATTTAAAACACTGGTTTAGAGTTAACTTCAAGTAACTAAAGTGATAGTGAGTTGAGAAGTGTCTTTTGATGATTTTTGATTTGGAATATAACAATTAACATAATAGAAGGGTAATGTACTACGTCCCAATTCTTTTTTAACAAAAGAAAATGCAAGGAATAACTTTTCAGATTTATGAACCTCAAGCTAGTAAGTCCCATATCTCCACAACATTAACATCAAACTAAAATTTCTTTCTAAGTAGGACTCTATACTACAACTCATTGGGAAGTAGTTAACTTATAAGGTGTAAAAAGAAAAAATGTTGAACAATGCTGGAATTGAAGGGGGTTAAGAACTCCAACCGTACCTTAGCATTACTTGCTGAGCCATGTAATTCACTTTTGGTAGAGGATGTCCTCTTTCCTTGGTGGTTGACAACTTGAATGGTGCTTGAAGTGTTCTTACAGTGTTGTCCATTCTGTGAGGGGACCATGGAAGGGTCATCGATCACAACTTTCTGAGGTTCATTGAGAGCATTAGCCAAACTTGTCTTGCAGCATCCAGCAGTATCTTTCTGCTTCCTTGGTTGAGGTTTATATCTAATTGTTTTATTTTCAAGAATCTCCACATGGTGATCGATAACTTGAGTGGTGCTTGAAATCTTCTTGCAGCTTTGATCATTCTGTGGTGGGACCATGAAAGTGTCACCCGCCTCCATTTTCTGAGGCCCATTGAAAGCATCAACCAAACTCTTCTTGGAACATCCAGTTGTATCTTTTTCCTTGAATGATTGGGGATTAGGTTTAGAAACACTTGTGTTGTCTTCAAGATTCTCTATCATGACATCATTTACGGGAGATTTGTCCTGGCTTTCATGAAGTTCTTGCTTGCTAGGTCTTCCAATCCTTTCACAGCTGTTTAAAATTATATTTCCATCCCCTAGGCTTGAATCTCGCAAACCATTCGAGAATTCTCTCCTACAGGGGAGAAAAAACACATCAGGCAAATAAAGGACAATTTGAAGAAATAATGTTATGTAATCTCTAAATCAAATACAAAAGTCCATATGGCCATCAGTTTCATCACTAATCGCCATCATGTGTTTGGGTAAGGTTACCCAATAAATAAGCACTAATGTTTGCTTGTTTCTATGCCTATAACAAAAAAAAAAAAAAAAATTACAAAACAAGGACACAGGAGGCTAAAAGTTCACAAACTTAGGAATAGACAATCCAAACGTGAGAGTGACTGGAAGCTAACATTAATGTACCAATGCATCCCATACCAACAGGTTGCATTAGTTTGTGTTGTGTGTCAGTTATGTACCTAAGTTATGTGGTACCTTGTCAAGGCTGCGTAACTAAGACCTAAAAAATTGTTTCGAAACCCGCATTCCTAATAATTTGCCTTGTATATGGCGTAGGGCAAGGGTAAATCCTCAAAAGTACATATATAAAAAAGAATACAAGGAAGAATATTATTATGAACTATGCATCTTAGTGTCCCGAAGTCTCATACTAATACACACTGATATTTTGTTCGAAATCAGAGTAATTCCTCTTGATTATGTTATTCTCTAAATTGGAGGACATATATAGCAATACAAACCATCTAAATCAAGTATAAAACCAAGTACAATAAGTTAAATATCACTGCTATGAATATACAGCCTAAAATCTACATTTACTCTTTAGAATCAACTCTATCAATTACGAGATTTCTTGTCTGATCTTTATTCAAGATTTCTGCTTCAATTAATATCAGCCAACATATTAGTTGGATGAAAGTAAACCACAGCCAAATATACTTTATTCTGAAGAATGTTTCTTTAAAGCATATGAGAAAAAAATTCTTAATTATTAAATGTAATGTACAAGGATTATAAGTAGTTTCAGCATTGAATCTTCAATTAAATGTTCAGAATGCAAATGAAAAAAATATCAAAAACACACAAAAACTACTATGCCCAGCTGAATGTGTTTCTAGTTGATTATATATCAAAAATAAATAAAGCTACGAAATATATGAAGATAAAATACACACCTGGGATACCAGTCTAACAAAGTCCCAGCATAAGGAAGCACATGGAAGTACTCAACGACTGGCGTAACTGCCCAGCTGCCGAAACTCTTTTGGACCAAAGGACCCTGCAGACTACTCATTATAAAAGACATCATGTTAGCATTAAAAAGGCCACAGTGGATACAAAATAAAGAAAGGTGTTTGTAGAACCATACCTATCAATAACATCTTTAATAGGAACTGGAATAATACCCTCACTGACAGTTTTGGTGCACTGAATTATAAAGAAGCAAGCAGCCGCCTTTTTGCTACTCACAGAAAATACAAAATGGCGTTCCAAAAGCAGCAGATCAGATTGATTAATACCTATTCCATTTTGAAAAAAAAATCATATTTGTCAGCTAATCTGTTAATCAATTGGAAGAAATGGTCCTAAAAACAAGGATCTGGATACTTAGTTGTTGTTTCAGCATAATTCTATATAGAAACCATACTCCACTGATACATTTTAGAAGCAACAATCCCTAAGCATAACCAAGCTAGGCTGTCATCACAACTGGTTTTGATGAGCTGTAGTAACAGCACCAAAAGATTAATGATGGAGAGAAGACCACACAATTAGCAACACTGAGTATCAGTGACAGCTAGTAAACTCTGAAATGATATTATACAGAATGTTATGAGAAGTATGCATTGCTAAGGCAAGGAAAACACAACTGTATATAATGTTGATCCACATCTAATGGTGGTTACCCCTATTAATTTTTTTCATTATTGTGATAAGGTGCATAGGGAATCCTTATTCAAAAACAATTGGATTCATTTCATTGAAGTGGGCATAGATGGTTCAAATGTATCACGTCAAGCATCATATATCATATACAATAGTTTATCAGAATCTTGATGCACCTTTAGATTCTGCAATAGGAGTTGTGTACTGATGATTAATCCTTTAGAAAGTTAAAAAAAAAAAAAAAAAAAAAAAAAAAAAAAAAAAAAAAAAAAAAAAAAACAAAACAAAACAAAACAGCTGCTTCAGATCCAACCTCCTATTGTTTTCTATATGTTTTCTTTGCACAGGTCAGTAAATGTTTGCCTCAACAATTGGATACAGAAGGATAGAGGGCTTCCCTGAGGTTCACTCATTTACTAGGGTACTATTTTAGGAAATTTGCATACCTGTAGCTTCACTAACTGCTGAATATGCAAGTTTTCGGAGAGTAGGTTCATCAATTGTTGATTCTCTTCTTGAAGGTTTTCCAGTAACTCTTTTGTTTTTGTGTACATGTTTTTCCACCGCTTTATCTTCCGGACTGTGGACTGAGACATCTAAATCTTTTTCAATCACTGACCAAACCCCCTGGGTAATGGAATTGAATAGCAAAAAGCAGTTCTCCTTCTTGGAGTCAACTAAAAGAACTGTAACTTTGGAAATTGGCCATCCCTCTGTGTTTGGAACATCCTTTAATGCATCTAAACTTAGAGACATACTGCATGCATCCACAATTGCTTTTTCCGTCACTGAAAGTTGTTTCTCCAGGTCATCCAATTTAGTGTCGTTGGGGCTTTGCATGAATTTCATATAAACCATCAAGGCTGGTTTCAGAAACAAAACCAACTTGCAAAAGGAATCAAAATTCAAATCTTCTAGCTTCGGACATTGCTTTCTGTGGTAGTAGTTGTATAGTAACACAACGGCATGAACCTAAGGGAAAAACATTATCAGAGGCAAAGTAAGTTCTTAAAAGATTTTATAATTGCAGGTACATGCAATTTACTCAATTCTTTGTATGGAGATTTGATGTTTGGCCAAATTCTTGTACATGCCCTGCTCCTAGAACTCAAGACCAACTCATTCGTTAAATAGTTAAAGGTGACTCCAGTCTTTTCATGTGCTTCCATCCAAATATGATCTAAACTATTATCTACTCCACCAAATATGATAACAGAAGCATACGTTTACTGAATAATAGTAAATTGCCCGTAGAATACAAAATGATCAAAAACCATATATAGCACATTTAATTATTTGGATATTGTCATTTATGAACCCTTATAGTTTCCAAGACATTTCTTTAGTAATAAATGGAGACTGTATTAAAGAAAGAGTCACACAATGTTATGTAGCCGTGGATAAAAAGTCTACCATCTAAACAAAGGTCCAAGAAATTAACTTTACGCAGCTGGCAAACTATGAGAAGAATCCTAGACGGATATTTTAATCAACAAAACTTTAACACAAATAAAAGATAACATTGTTTCATTAATTAAACAAACATGCGTTATGAGATGAAGTGAGAACAAAACCTGTTTTGCAACTGATTCTTGTTGAGATAACGACGGTGTATCGCGCATAGAAGATTTAGGTGAAAGTATTGGGTCAACCAAGTATTCCAAAAAAGCCTGAATGGCCTCCTCAGTTGGACATACATTCATATCATCCATGGCTCGAAGAAATCTTTACGACCACCACTTGCCGTTAGGTTTTTAACTGTGTTCTGAAAAAACAGAAAAATATAAAACCATGTGACAGACAAGCTCTATGAAAGAATCTCCACCTCTATGTATATGCTCATGCATAATTATTGATACAGAAATTTAACAACCAAGCAGTATAAAACTTTGCCGAAATGCAGATATATGCAGAAAACTAACAGATGCAGTTTTACAAATGACATCTGTTTTGGAGATAAATGTATGCCACTAATGAGCTCACCACCTAGAAATATATCATAAACTCAGTCTTCTCATAAAATGCCAGGCAGAAAAACAAACAGAATACCAAATACATATAATTCCTTGGGACCAAAGGAAACTTTCAAAGTTATCAAATTCACGGCTATACCGGAACACGTCAGGTTTACATTGGAAATCTCCACCTGCACCGAGTTGCACATACGCAACAGGCATGGATACTCAAGGAATTTCCAATAAAAGCTCCAAAAATTAAAGTTTCTCCTTTTCTCCCTTATATACATGTATTAAGTATAGAGTCTCATCTCTTCCCACAAGCAACCTCTACAATTCGTACTACATTGCTTCTCCAAAACCTATAGATGTTAAAAATTCACAGGAACAACCATAGCAAACACTACAAAACACACTAATATAACTTCGCATAAAAGCTTTAAATACCGAAAAAGTAAAAATGACTAAGGGCCGTTTGATAACCATTTTATTTTCAGTTTTCAAATTTTTTTTAATTTTTTAAAAAACATAAAACAGAAAACTTGTCTGGTAACTAGTTTAGTTTCTCAAAACTAACAAAGAAAGCTACTCTTTCGAGTTTTCAAATTTTGGCTTTTAGTCTAAACCCTAAAGGCTAAAAACAAATGGCTATCAAACGGCCCGAAATTAAACAGTTTTTTCTTTAACATGAACTACAGAGAAGAATAAAACGAGAAGGTTAAAAAACAAAATCTTGATAAATTCTGATCAGGCCAAAAATACCACTAACCAAAACGACAAAAAAAAAATAAAAAAAAAAAAAACCCGATCAACATATATACAGATAAATACGTATACATTATGTATATATATGCGAGAAGTGCATCTTACACTGTGCAAAGGGGCCAAAGAAACAGGGAAAATGCTGAGAAGTAAAAAAGAAATAAGCTTTTTACAAGGGTTTTTACCAGTTGGCAGGTAAAGAAGGTAACTTAGGTTGTCTGAAAAGTGAGCTCGAGATTTGCAGAGGACCAAAGACAGCGCCGATGTCCGAGGAGAAATGAAAGATCAGTCCTCCTCCGCCGACATTGTGAATTTTTTTTACCTTTTTCTTGGGACCGCGTAAGTTTTTCCTTGGGAATCGCGAGGGTTTTACGTTTATATACTTCTTGGGAAATGTCACTCTCCTTCTCGTACTTTGATCTTGTCTTTTAACCTTCTACATTCCTCGTGTCGTCTTATTATTATAACAAAATATGATTTTTCAATTATATGCCGAAAACACCGAAAAATACTATTTGTTACATCAAATATTATAATGTCATTGATTAGATATTTGAAAAAATAAATTTTTAACCAATTGTATTGTAACATTTGTGTACCGTGCTATATATTCTACACACTAAAAATTTCTCCTGAAACCAATAGATTGCATTAGTGATAAGTGTTTGTCACAAATTAATTACATTACTACAAACAATGTTCTAACCATCGCATCAATGCACCATTTGCAATTTATGTCCTATTGATTTAAGCAACTTTTTCCCATGTAGTAATAAACACTCGTGCTCCTTGGTTGATAAACTGTTATCACTCAAAACTTACAAGTTAACAAATTAAAGTAATAAATGGGCTCCTTGGTTGGCTACATTTAAGAACAGTCAGCCATTGCGCTCGGGCATGTTTTTTTTTAGGCCCCTCAGGCCTTAGAGCAGTTCCAGTGTGTAAAGGCTCTCAATGGCTATAGGCAATTCAATCAACTCAAATGAATAGTAATTGCCTTTAATGAATAGTAATTGTTTATTGCATCGCCGCCCCTAAATTGAATAGCCTATGCAATTCGTATTAAAATATTAGTATTTTTTATTTTATAAAATAAAAAATAATAATTTTATATGTAATTTCGGATATGATTTTTGGTGATAGATTTCGATAAGATTTTTATCCAATTCCATCGCTCCACGGATCGTTACCTGTTTAGGATCGTTGACGATAGATTTTCGATAAGATTTTCATGCCACGTGTCACTATCGGTTTAGAATCATTGAGGATATATTTCAATAAGATTTTTAGCGAATCACGACATGCCACATGGTATTATCTACAACCTAATTCTTTCTTTTTTTTCTCCACCCTAAGAAATCAGACACCAAAACCAAAATCTCTTAAAATCTCTATCATGCTTCATAGTTTATAAATCTTGAGTTTTTACAATATCTTCTTCAAGGATCTTGTGGGAAATCGATGAGTAGCTTGAATTCAATCATTGACCAATTCGAACTTGCATCATTAGCCATTTTTTGTTGCAAATAAAAGTATATGAAAACTTTGAGAGAAAGATTGGAATGTGATTAAAAGTATTTGAAAATATGGAAATGTGGTGTAAGGTGGAAGATAATGGTAAGATATTTTTTTTTTTTTGAATTTTTTTTAGGATTTTGAATTTTTTATTTTTTTATTAACTTAATTAATCTGGACCATTGGATTACAAAAAAAAATTGAAATCCAACAGTCCAAATCATGACATGTGGCCTAAATGTAGCATATTTGACTTTTTCTTTTTTTTAAAAATAAAATTTAGCGCCGAAAAATGTGGACCATTGATCTGGATGTGCCACGTCATTTAGCCATTGGGAGAGGTTTGCTTTTTTTTTATTTTTTTTTATTTTTTTATCGTTGAAATTCCGACGGTCCAGAAAAAAAAGTTGTTGAAAATCCAACGACGTACAACAAGCCACATTGCTCTAAGCAACGACTACTGAGTGGGCTACCACGCGAGCCCCATTGTCTAAAATGTTGTTGGAGATGCGCCCCCACACGCGTGTTGGGCATGTACCTGACGCAAAATTTTTTATAACGTGGCTGACGTTAGCCTTGCATCACTTCCCCCTCCAACACTCGGCCCTTGGACTTGCACCTGACTTCTCCCACGAGCTCCCCCTCAGCCCAATTGCCCGAATGGGCTGGCTTCACTTTAGGAGGCAATTGGATAGGTTTTGTTGCCAATCCACATGGCTATTGCCCAATGGAGTTGGCTTTGCGTTCTCTTGTTGGGCTTCTTGGGTTCTTTCCTTGGTCGGGCCCACTGTTTGGGCTTTAAACTGCTCAACTTTAACAACTACGATCCAGTGTTATTCCTCTTTAATTGTAGGTGAGAGATCTTAATTGTAAATAGCAACTTCAATACTAATTTATTTTCCCACCCCTTAAGCTGCATTTGGGTTATAATGGATATTTTCACTTATCAATGAGGGCATACTTGTCATAAAAGTGAATACCAAGGAAGTTAGAAGGCTTTATATTATAGGCCAGAAAATCATTTCTCAAGTACAAACTTACAAAGCATGTGAATTTCTCATTCTCAAGCTCTCTTTCCACATACCAAATGTAATCTTACACTATGTTTGGATGAGGGAAATAAACTTGAAATTTCAATAAAAGTCAAAATTTATAAATTAATATGCACTAATTCTCTTGTTTGGATTCATAAACATATATATAAATTTAGAATTTTCGCGTTAAAGAAAAAGACTTGTAATTTGGGACCTCCAATTCATAAGTTAAATTCCATGTAAATATATGTCATTTTCCAATTTCTATGATTGAGAGTTTAAAAATAACAAATTCTGTATTAATAAAAAATATCATTGCATAAAAATAATAATAATAAAGAGTACTTTTTACTAATAGGGAATTGGGATGAGTATGAATCATCCCTGAACTTTACAATGTGTTGCACATTATTAACAAAAAATTGAAAGTTCTTAAAATACCCCTAAATTTAACGAAAAAATATTAGTGAAATGGCTAATAATTCAATACATTGTTAAGTTCGAGAACTAAAAAAAACTAATATAAGAGTTCAGAAACAAAAATAAACTATTGGTAACTTTTAAAGGCCATTGCTACAATTAAGCCAATTAGAAAATATCCACCCTACCAAAAACTTATATCCAACGTTAACAGCATAAAAAACATAGTTGTGCCCGGCAAGAACCTACACCGCGCAAATGTAACTTCCATATCCACAAGCTCAGGCTTCTTCTCTTCTTCCTTAGCAGCAGCCGGACCACCTCCGGAAGCAGCAGCTGCAACAGGGGCTAGCACAGTACCTTGAGATACTCCTTGACTTCTCCGCTTGTGGGAGGTTATACTCGGTTGCAACAGACACTGCCAATACGTTCTTGTAAGCATGGAGGAACATGTACGTAGCTGCAAGGGTGGGGTATGAGACGGCCAAAGCCAGTGAAGTGACCATGGAGCGGGACATAAGAAGCAAACTTCTCCATCATGTCATCCTCAGTCAGATCAAGCACCTCTCGGCTGAAGACGGAAACCACTGTCATACACAGTCTGGACGACAAGACCGTATGAGAATGGCTTGTGCGAGGAGGGCTGCCTCAGAAGAGCTCACCAAGTCACCCTTCTTGATAAGTTCGACAGGGGTAATGATTTCGACGGTGCCCTTGTTAATCTTAGTGGGATGTTGAGCACCTGAAATGTGAGACGTGCCGAGTCAGAACTCCTGTAAAATGTGACATATGCATCTGCCGTGAAAGTGGTGAAATGTGCATCTACCGTACGTGAACGGATATTATCACACACCTGGAAGAACGAGGTCTGAGATGGGTCGAGGTCAATTGGAGCAACCAAACCAACATGAACAGGGGCTCCAACCTATTCAGTTCAAACCAAAATCAAGCTAGAAATCATATATATGTGGTAAAACATATAAAAAAAGAAATTTAATTGGAAAACTAACAAAAAATTATCATGAGGGATACTTAAGCCCACAACCAAGCACGAGCAGCTGCATTATTTCAAGGCAAATATATTAACAACAAGACCATGTAAAATAAGAAAACTCTACACATAATCATCCAAGTTGAAAAAAGGTTTCCTTTTGTTAAGATATCTGTCGTAATCTATACTATCATGATTGTACAAGCCTTTGTCAAAATCTCCAAAACCATCATTCATCATTGTAGTCTTCATTGTACGATGCATCATCATTGTTATACTCTCTACTGTAACCAAAATCATCGTCGTTAGAGTATTCTTCGATGTTGCAAAACAAAATTACGGCGAATGACCTTCAAATGGACAAGCCCTAAACGAGATGGCAGAAATAGTTGGGAACTCGATTTGTGAAGACAAAGATGATCAAAAGAGCATAGTTATGGAGACAAGGAAGCGCAAAACGCACAATGAAATATTGAGAAGTTGGCGTCAAAGGTGGGAACTCGATTTGAAGATGAAGAACACGCTATCAAGAAGAACCGGTGAAGTTGATGGAAAAAAAAAAAAAAAAAAACGAATGCAGGATGCCATGCATATAATACATATCTCGTTTGAAAAAAAAAATAAAAATAAAATAGTACAAGATAATTCCCTGAACTTAATGTATGGTCTAAGATGATCTTTAACGTTTACGGTTAAGATAATTTCTTGAACTTAATCAATAGTCTAAGATAATCATAATTTTTTTCATTATCTAACAATCAAGCTCATTCATTGAACTTAATCAATAATCAATAGTTTAAAATAAAATATTATATTAAAGGATAAGGCTCATTTTACTTGTCACACCCTTCTTAACGTTGAACCAGCGGATCAAATAAATAGCGGTTCTCATTTTTTATTAAGTTACCTAGGATTTTCCTACATGGGATGTGTGTCCTCCCACTTTACCAAGTTAAAAAAATGCTACATGTCCGTGTGAGAAGCCCCTTCACCCTCGGCTTTGCAACCGGTGGAATCCAATTCAACAGAATGTCCAAAACGAGATTCTCTGTCAAACCCATTCAATCCAAAACAGAGATACCCACTTCCGACCCAGACCCAAACCCAGGTCACTCCTCAAACTCTCTCTCTGCCCTCCTCCATTACTTTGATTAATCTTTTTTTATTATTACTACCATAATAATGCAATGCTTATTCCAATTTCATATGTTTTTGTTCTAATGTTGGATTTTTGTTTTGGAAATTTCAGGCTCTGAAAATGGTTCAGCAGCAGAGCTTCGTGTTTTTTCGAGGAGAAAGAGAGTGAAAAGGACAGAAGAAGTTCAAAAGTTACAGCTTGAAGCAAAACCCATTGCCCAGAAAGTGAGAATTTAATTTCAGTAATTCGAAATATGGGGTTTTTATTTTTCCCTTAATTGTTCTCTAATTGATGAATTTATCATTTGGAGTTGTTTCAGCTTTGATATAATTTTTTTTCTGCAATTTGAGCTAGATTTTGTGTTCGTAATTGTTCAGGTGTATATTCAAAACTGGAAAAGTTGGTATTTTTGGGATGTACATTTTCAAATTTTAATATTTTAAGTGCATTTCTTGTGTTTGGATGTGGTTACTTTTGAATTCCAACTTCTAAGTATCTGCAAGTCCATTTTCAATTGGTACTCTGGTTTGAACTTCATTCGATTTATTTATTTCGCCCTTTTTTCATTTCAAGAGCCAACCAGTTTTATGTACTACAATCACAAGTTCATTTTAGAAAGAAATTTGGGCTTGTTTGGAAGTTCTTTTAAAAGGCTGAAAGTGCTTTTGGTGAAAATGCCCTTAGTAAAATGGAAATGAATCCTGGAAAAACACTTTATTGCTTCATGCAGGAAAAACATAACTGGTGCTTCTTTTGCAGGAAGCAATTTAAGTGCTTCTGAAACTTAAAAACACTTTCTCTAAAGCACGTTCAATCATTTTAAAAGCAGTTCCAAACAAGCCCTTAATTATTTGTGTAATTTATTTGTTACTTGAGTCTCTAACCTTCGTACCAAATCTTTCATGCTGAATTCAGTAAGACCACATGGAACTAGCAGTTACATGAATAAATACATTCCCCTCTGCAGGTTCTTTCCCTCATTTTCTCCCGCTTTCTTCGTTTACAGAAGGGTTCATATCATTTGCAAATAGCAACATTTTGTTTTGTCTGGTATTCAGATCCCAAAAAGGAAGCCTCACTTTATATTAGCAAGGTTAACTTTGAATGCTAGGATACACTGAATTATTACCTTTTGTCACATTGAGCAGTGAAAGTAATCGAGCTATTATGAAAAATAGTATGTGAATTAATACCCATGTTACTGGGTAATGGTTACATCTTGCGTCTAGTTGGACTTTAAAAACATAGCTCCCATTTCTTACTTCCAAAAACTGATGCGCAACTCAACGAAAGCCATACCCAACTGCTGAAGGTTGAGTAGCATTTATTGCATCAGGAATGTATGCAAACTTGAAGCTCAACCATTCATATTCGTAAAATCTTGTAGAGGAACTGTTGTATGTATATGTATTATGATCAGTTCCTTCCCTGCAGCTGGCTGTCCTACCTGATATTGAAGAATTCGCATACAAAAAAGTGAATACATCTACCAATTCAAGTAAGTATATCTTTGACAACACATGATTAGATGTTTTCGGCTTCCTGGTGAAATGAGCTCTTGCTTGCAGATGTCAAATTGAAGAAAGTTATGAACTATGAAGTACATTCTGTTCCAGTGAATACATTATTAGAGAAATCGTTTGCAATTTGAATTTGTTCCGTAGCTATAAAATGTTATTGCTTTGCGAGCACTCATGCATTTATCATTTTAAAATGATACATTGAGTGTTGTGCTTATCGCAGGGTGCTATTTTCTTTCTTGACCATTTCATTTCTTCTTTTGTTTGGGCTAAGACAAGACTTATCTTGATGAAGTGTGAAAATGAATATATATAACTAACAAAATAGTGTCGCTAGAGTTTAGATTGATGCCACCAATAAGTTTACCCTTATAAATTATAATGATTCTCATCACAAATTGTCAGGATGCCCCAATAGGTTTATTGTCAAAATATATCGTAAGCTTTAAAATTTTCATTTCAGTTGACACAGGTAAACCACCTTCTAACTGGGAGAAAGTCCTTGATGGGATTCGCAAAATGAGGTCTTCTGAAGATGCACCAGTAGACAGTATGGGTTGCGAGAAAGCTGGAAGTTCTCTTCCTCCCAAGGTATCAGTCTCCTCATTTCTGTAACTGCAAGGTAGAATGAAAATGGGTTGGATAGAGTTTTGAAGATTTTAAATTGGAATCTTACTAGATTGAACTCTTTCTTTCTGGATCATGGTTATATTACGGCTTCAAATAATTTATTAAAGGCAATCATATAGGAACTCCTTGATAACCATGATCCTAACATCTAGAAACGTCCAGAACTATAGCTTCACCTTTTTCAATTCCTAATTGTGAATATTTCAAACTTTTGCTACATGATAAAATGCCTTTTGATTGTTATTCCATGAATATATGTCATGCTGTGAAAACCAAAATAAAATCAGGAACGAAGATTTGCTGTCTTGGTGTCCTCTCTCTTGTCAAGCCAAACAAAGGATCATGTTAACCATGGTAAGTTTGTGCTAGCCAGGTAATCATTTTGTCAAGCTTGAAGGTTATTTGAAGTAGTGAGCATGATATCCGGTCCACCATACATAGCTGTATTACACAGACCCCCACTACCCCACCTACCCACATTGATGGATAAATACCTAAAAAGTAACTAGTTAGGAAGATAGTTCAAATGAACTCTGGTGAGACGTTGGCTGGAAACATGGTCAAAGGTGAAAGGAGTCACATTCTTGTTAAATGGAATCAATGAGAAAAAGAAACTGATATCTTATTTCTACCATTGTTTGTTTTCACTCTGTCACTTGCCCTACTAAACAGTCTGGAAAGCTTTTCCGTCTTTCACTCTTACATGACAAAGTTGGCTGATAGCTACTGGATGTAGTAAGCATAACTTAGAAGAATCTAGATGTTATACAACTTTGTAATCTATTGGTCCCAAAAGTGTGCATGTTCCTTATCTTCCAATCTGTAAAGTCTTCTCGGTTATTCTGCATGTTACTTAAAGTTTTTTTTTCTTCCACTGAATAGTCTTTTTGGATTGCAGGAGCAATTCAGCGTTTACTTCAAAATGATCTGCTCTCTGCTGATTCCATTGATAAAGCTGATGAAGCAACCATTAAAAGCTTGATTTACCCGGTATGTTCTTTTCTATTCCCACTTAAAAAAATGGTGTAAAAACCTTCTCTTTGGCAAGAATTAGTCCAATATTGGGGGTAAACCCAAATAATTAATACCTATGTAAAGTTATATTTGTAGTTCTTTCAATTTGCTTAACAACTTTTTGAATTTTCAACCATAGCTTTTAAATTCTGTATATGTAGGTTGGATTTTATACAAGAAAGGCTAGTAACTTAAAGAAAGTTGCAAGCATTTGTCTCACGAAGTATGATGGAGATATACCTAGCTCGTTGGAGGAGCTACTCTCACTTCCAGGAATAGGTCCTAAGATGGCTCATTTGGTAGGGCTGCGTTCACTTATTTAAATTAGCACGTCATCTTAGGTTCTTAAGGTTTTCTGTTTTGTTGTGCTTAGGTTATGAATGTTGGTTGGAACGATGTTCAAGGTATTTGTGTGGATACTCATGTGCACCGCATTTGCAATAGGCTTGGGTGGGTGTCACGGCCAGGAAAAAAACAGGTACAATGCATCTATTGTGATAGCACCACATATGGTGTACTAAAGTCGGCTCTCAACTTTATTTCATTCTCATAAACAAATTTTCCGAAAAAATTCATACTGTATTGAGTTACTGAAGTATCAACTACGATAATATGGAATTAATGGATAATCTTCATTCGCTTTGCTAGAAAACTTCAACTCCTGAGCAAACGAGAGAGGCATTGCAATTGTGGCTTCCGAAGGAAGAATGGGACCCCATAAACCCTCTTTTGGTATGCATGGCTCACTACGCTAATACCACTGATATGTCGAAATAACTTTTACAAATTACTTGCACATAATACAAGTGTAGACACACGCTGACACAAGCTTGTACTCATAGTGCGAACATGTGTTTGCATTTGGTGAACTCGTTGCATATTGACATTTATATTTTTAATATGCTATAAGAATCCATCCAAAGGTTAAGTTACTTAACTTGGGTAACCCTTCTCATAACCCATAATCACACCATCTACTAGAAATGGGTTAAGAAGGGATAATTTTTGAGTCTTTGATTTGAAGTTATTGCTTTTGTAGTTTCTGAGTGTCAGGGTGATGTTGCTATTTATCCTGTTTTGTTTGTGCTTTTGCAGACTTCCGGTCCGCTCTTGCATTTTATTGTTTCTTTGCAATAAAAATTTGTTTCTTCTTCAAAAAGATAATGCATTTCTTCTATATATATGAACAGGTAGGATTTGGACAGACAATTTGCACTCCCCTCAGACCTCGTTGTGGATTCTGCAGTGTGAGCGAGTTTTGCCCATCTGCATTCAAAGAGGCTTCAAGTCCGTCATCCAAGTCAAAGAAGTCTGGTTCGAACAAGAAGCTTTGACAATTGAATCTCAGAGGGGAAACAGATCATTTTTGCATCTGTCTGCGTTTTGTACGTGTCTCAATCCTGATGAATCTCATGGATGCTTGGATAGCCAAGGTGAAGTTGTGTCTTTTCACCCCAAATTATAGGTAAGTTGTATTGTTCGGAGAGCGATTAATTCCTTTGCATTTTGTTGGAAGGGGAGTGTAAACGAGGGAAGGGTGTCAACTGGAAGTATGTTTGTGGAAGAACTTTCGGACCATTTGTATGACTCAAATCTAAGGTCAAAGTTTTTATCATTTCCATATGACGAATGTTCGAACCAAATTTTATATTTATCCAAAATCATTTTCGGAACTACATGTCGTTTGATCCCTCACAAAGAGGGTATGCAGGCAATCTGGTGCAAAATTTGAGATACAACTGCACCCCCAAAACAAAACCACTTCGAAAAACCATTTCTAAACTACGTTGATTTGATCTCGCTAAGGGTATGTAGGAATCTAGTACCAAATTTTAGACGCAACCAAAATCAAATTAAAATTTGTATTGAACACCAAAGTCCCAGACACTTTTATTTTAATGGGTCATTCAATCATTAAAATTGTTCGAACTACAAGGAGCTTGATTCCTCTCCAAGAATTCATAGGCAACTCGAGGCTAAAACATTATGGGCCTACCCTTTCAACTCAACTCACTGCATCTCGAGTTAAAACCCTCCCCCTTCATCTTAGTCTAAAATATCCTTTGCAACCTGATAAAAACATGTCAGGTACCATATAAATTTTCAATAAGAATTTGCTATCATGTCAGTGACAATGCAAGTGTGGTACCAATTTTCCTCAATCATTTTGGTTTAATTCTTTTGTCAAAGGTTTTCTACCGTTACAACATAAATATCCATCGAAACAAACATGAAACTGCACTCAACTTCAACTAGAACATTTAATTAATCAACGGGATGTGCCACAAAAGTCGGGTTATTCAGTCACCTCTTCTATTTAGCTCCTTCGCAGAGGATGCTCTTACGCCAGTTCCAATAGTTAACTCTTATCGGATCAAGCTTTTCCAAGAGTGAGCAAATAGTTTTTGTCAAGTCCGATTCTGCTTCTACCAAGTTTGAGTTTCTTATAGCATCCACAGCATCTTTGAGCTCTTCGCTTGCTTGGAAACCATGGCGGATGAGATCCAAAAGTGTGCTCAAAGCAAAGATACAATCGTTGTTGGCACTTAAAACCTTCAAGCATACCGAAGCAATTTGAGGGTCGTTTGCCCAAGACCAGTTGTCGTTTTTGTAAAGCCCTCGTAGATATCTCCATGAACTCTCATTCTCTGGGTGGGCTACAATGGCTTTAAGAGTATAAGACACTTCAGACTCTCTCATAGCTGTTAGGCCTCCCAGGAGTGGAGATCTTGTAATGACGAAATATCTCTGTTACAGAAAAGGATATGGCGGTCAAATACACAAATCTCTCTCAACAATACTGCTTAAACTTCAAAACCAGTTGATCAACAATATCACTGGAAAGCGGAAACATAGATCAACCGTAAGATAGTCTAACAATACATATATGTATGAGCAGTTAACCTAATACTACACATTCAAGACTTGCATGTAACTTTATTTTCTGGAACTATGTGACTCAGAACTTAGGAACAAATGGCAGGTAAAAGAACATTCATAATCTATGCATACCTGGTTCCAAGCAGAATTGTTAAAAACGTCTTCTTCAAGGAGCTCCCGACAATAGTCAAGTTCATTTTCCCACCCTCCAAGTTCCTTGAGAACCCACTGCATTGAAAATAAAAATGGTTGAGAACAAATTCCCCTTTGTAAACCAAATGATAAATACATACTACGAGCAATAGTGCTCAAGGTGCTCATCCAAATAACAAAAATAAGTGCTTTAAAATAATTGGCTCATGCATTTAGCATACCAGAGTCAGACGAAGAAACAAACCTGCCTATGAGACCAAGCATGATAGTTTTTAGCATCACCCAAGAGTATCTTCTTTGTAAACTCAAGTTCCGCGCTTGTAGCATTAGTTCCCAATATCTCAGCAACCCACCGCCTATGATGCCTGCAAGTACCAGCAATAAGATTAATGGAGTGGCACGAGAGGTACGTGTACAAAGTTAGTAAACTCAGTCTCATAGATGTTTAGGGGAAATATTTGTTGATAGATTCATTTCATGACCATGGGCTCATTTGGAAGTGCTTTTAAATGACTGAAAGTGCTTTTGGGAAAATGTTTTTGGGTCCCAAAAACAATTTCACAAAAAAAGCTTTCAGCCATTTCAAAAAATCTTTCAAATAAGCCGTAAAGCAGCTTAATCCAAGCTACAGCAATTGAGTAATTACTACTGATGTAAAATAAAGAAGGAAAATAATTACACAAACATAAAAAACTGCATACTACTGACGCATGATGATATTCGCTGTCCAGATTCCTTGAAGATTTCATATAATTACTAGCTAATGAGCAATTGCAGTAGAAAGTTCAAATCCCTTACAAGTGACAACTTAAACTGTCCTACATCAATGTCTTAGCCAGAATTCTCTAGCCTGTTGGACAGATCATGTGTATGCTAAGCGGACTTTGTCAAAAATCACGAAACAGAAGCGTAGTAGAACAGAACTTGAACACCATATGAGATACACATATTGGACTTAAAACAATTATCTCAAAAAATTCATAAACAAAAACATTTAGGCCAATCGATATGACGTTCCGATGGAAACATATAAAGAGACTTGTAACTGACCACAACTGATAATTTTTGGAGTTAATCTGCGCAATCTGATCGGTGAAATCAAGTTCATTCTGTAAATCAGCTTCAAGGGTCTCCAGTATTAAGCGCCTGTAATGCCATATCTACAAAGTGAGGGGAAAAAGAAAAAAAACGAAACAATTAGAAAGCTTCACTATTAACTTTACTGTATCTCAAATCTACCCAACTACTAAAGTAGAGTTTTCTTATTCCAGTTTCCAGATTTTCTCATCAAGTCCTGCAAGCATATCAAAGGAAGAAAAAAATAAAGAAGAAAAACCCACTAAAAATATGATCTTTCAGCAACTCCTAATGAATGACAAAATACTAAAACTTTCTCAGCAACCAAACAAAGCATAAACGTAAAAATCCTCCAGGGATATGAAAATAGAAGGGAAAATCACCATTCACCAGTAAATGTTTCTGGGTATTTCAAGACAGAAAGTAAAAGAAAAAAAAAATGATGCTTTAATGCCAGCAGCACAAAATCCCAATTTCCCAGATTTTCTCAGCAACCAAACATAGCAAACGAATCTCAGAAAAATCAAAATTGGAAAGCAAAAACAATGATACAGAGAGCGGGACTGAGACTAGAAACCCACGGTGTAGTTTCCTGAATTCAATCCGATGGCTTCGGTGGTGAGCTGAAGGGCGCGAGGCGATCGCTCGTCGGCTTTGAAGACGGCTCGGAAGTAGTTCATCGTCTCTGTGAACTGCTCCTTGTAGGCTATGGGGACGACCGGGTTCGGACCGTCGTCTTGCTCGACCGGAATCACGTCCGACCATTCCGGCCTATTCTTGAATGGGACCCACTGTTGTTCTTCGTCCGAGCCCATCTCTCTTTCTGTCATCAGCTTCTTCGTCCGAATCGCAGGTGGCTTCTAATGTTTCTTTGCTTGTTTTGTAACCACATAACCAACCACGTAGGGTTTCGAATTAAAATGATTTCTTTTTTTTTTGAAAGCATCGAATTATATTGATTTTAAAATAAGAAAAACGCTTAAAAACTTTAAGTTTTAATAAAGAGTAAAGTGAGTAGTACATGATTGACTTTTTATTGTAAAAATGTGATTTTTTGTTAAAATGAACAATACCAATAAATTTTCGTTAAAATTTCTTTTAAAATATATGAAAGCTCTCTCACATTTTCAAAATTAATTTTTTTTTTAAATTTGAGCAAATAATTAGAAAGTATTTCAAATGTTTTTTGAATTTAAAAAAAATATTTTTAAAAGTACTTTTAACCATTTTAAAAATATTTTCAAACAAATTCATTTGTAAATTCTAAATTTAGACTATCCGTATATAAGTTTTCCAATTACACATGGGAAAGGACAAAATACTTTCTTTCCCTTTTTTTTTCTTCCTAATAAACAAATTGCAACACAAGAAAATGCATGTTGCAAAAGGAAAATTAGGACTTCGTATCTCTCTTTACCTAGTTGGAATAATTTCGAATTTCGTTAATGACATGTTTACTTACTTGTTCATGCGTGTTTATTACATATTTTCTTATTTTGTTGAAATCTTAGATGTTTTTTATATATTAAAAATGCTATAAGATGGGGTAATGCTATTCACAGCACATTATTCTCAAGTCGGGACCGGCCAAAAATATTATTTAATCGAGGCTAGTAATTTATCGATTCTTAAATTATTGAGTTTCTCCTGTTTGTCTACTATTACATAGATTGTTACCAATTTTATTCTCATTCACTCCACAAAATAATAAACGACTCACTCACTCCTTTTATAACCTTAAAAATCTACATCCATCCTGTCCAACGTTCATTGAACAATTAATATAAAATTTTGAGAAATGGAGGACGAAGACATCATTTGAGGAGATCCATCAGAGCTATGCCACAAATTTTTTCAAGGCTTATATTATGTTTGGATGATGAAAATGAACTTGTAAATTTTGAGATTAATCAATACAACCGATAATTAATCTAAACTAAAAAGAAATTTTAACTTTTAGTTTAAAACTTTAGTGCATGTTCACTTAATAACTGATGAAAAGAAATGAATCTGATAGCTAAAACATATGAGAAGTAAGGAAAAGAAATCAGATCAACTAGAATTTCTTATTCGATCTGAATTTCAATTTAAAGATATTCAATTACAAATTTAAAGAAAAACTTATACTTTTCCCGTTCCTAATCCGGATTTAGAAATCAAAGTGATTCCAAATCCAATTCGTTTCAATGATACCATGCCAAGTTGCGAATGGTCAGCAAATTGAGGGTGGAAATAGATATTAATTAATTAAATACTTATTTTTTGGTTAGGAATTTAATTAAATATTTGGAAATAAAAAAGGAGTTGTATTATTGTATATTTCTTTGCGGCTCTCCAATTTTCTCTTTCCGGTTTTGACACCGACTTTTCCCTTCGCTTTCTGTAACCAACTCATACACTCCTCCTACGCCGGCTGCGGTTAGGGTTTTTGTGGTCGGACGGTGATGGACTCCGAGGACGATATGCACGACGCCAACGACGTGGATTCCATGGACGACTGCGACGGCTTCTACAGCGACGAGGACGCTTTGGACTACTACGGCAGCGACGATGACGACGCCGATGTTGATTTCGGCGACGATAATGAGGGAATCCAGAGGATCGAGGCCAGTCGACCTGAGGTTTGTACTACTCCATCCCTTGCTTTCTCTCTCTTCTGTGAATTTCTTGAAATTGACTCGCTCCGATACTTGCTTTGTTTGGGAGCTGAGATAGCTCTGGATTAGCTTTGATCACTTGAATTTTGTAACTTTACTTGATAAAAGCTCCAATTTAGGGAAATCCTGCCCCTCACTCGCGTCTTATTTAGTCCAACACAGTTGGACTAAATAATCCTACCAGTGGGCTCTTTCTAGTTGTTGTTGTTGTTAATGGATTAGAAGGGTTTATTGTATACTTTTGTTGTCCGGGTAATTTTGTCCAATTGAGCTGAAGTGAATGCCTTTCGTGGTGATGGTAGTCCCGAGGTCGAGTAAGGGTACTTCAGTCTGTTGGCATTGGTTTGATTTGTAGAGTAATGGAGGAAAGCTAACAAACCATTACATACACACTCTCGTAGATTAAGAGGATGCGATGAACAAGTTGACAATTGACATATTGTGAGTAGAAGACATCTCTACACAGTCGCCGAAACATGAACATAAGGGAATTACCTGGATAAAAAAAGCTGTCTTCCATTCATTCAATCGCTTTTTCACTAGTTGCCTACTATTTCAGTTTAATTGGTTGGGGATATGCGCACGACAAGAGTTTCACTACTAATAGCAAATTAAAGAATATGTGCTGATTCTCAGCCAGAATAAAAAGCTTGTATCATGTGCCAGCCAGGCAGCTGCAAGTGAAAGACTTTCCACTCAGTCATGCTATTTGGTTAATGCAACAGCAGTGAAGTGAACCACCTGGAGGCCTCCCTTTTATAGTTACTGTGAATTTTACAGATTTTAAGCATTCTTGATATCATGTTGAAGACTTTTGTCTCTACCACAAGACCCAGTCTTGATGAACTAAATTCTTACTTTGTTGTCTCCAAGGAGCCATCTTTTTCAGACGTGTATGCAAGAAAATATATATATGTGTGTGTGTACTTATGGGTATGGATTTGAATGTTAATTTGAATATTCAATCTTGTTTCCATTGAAAGGATTTTGCCAGTCAATTTGAGGAGCTTATAGTGTTCTCATTAATTTCGTAATTTTCATTTTTTTCTCCAGAATAATTATATCATCTTGAAGGAGTTAGATATAAAGCAGCGCCAAGAAGATGATATTGCAAGTGTATCTGCTGTGCTTTCCATACCAAGAGTTTCTTCTAGCATTGTACTTCGTTACTTTAATTGGTATTGAATTTTTCACTTGTTCATCTCTATTAGCATTCTCAGCTTCATATGTATGCAGAATTGTGCTTTTTTATTTCAACGGTTCTTCGGAACTGTATGCTGTGTCGTGAGTGAATATGGTAACCTGTGAACTATTATCAGTGACCCCTGTAGCCAATCAGTATCTATCCTATCATCAGGGGGAGGGGTAGAACTTAGGAGGGTGAAGCTTCCTTTCATTCTGTAGCACATAATTACTCTTTTTGTTGAAATGGAAATAAGAGTTCCTGAACACCCATCCCCTCCCTATTTTATATGTAGTTTATCTGAAAAGGTTTTGGTATGGCAGGAGTGTAACTAAAGTGCACGAGGCATGGTTTTCTGATGAAGATAAGGTCCGAAAAACTGTTGGCTTGTTAAAGAAGCCAGTTGTTGAGTTCCCCAATTCCAGAGAAGTAAGCTTTATAAACATTAGGAAATTAGAGTCTGCTGTTTTGCTAGTAACTGGTTTGTTTTTCTCTTCATGTGTTGTGTACACCATCCTAATACCTATTATTCATGGACAGCTTACCTGTGGGATCTGTTTTGAAGCCTTTCCCCGTGGTAGCATCAGATCTGCCTCTTGTGGTCATCCGTACTGTTGTGCATGCTGGAAAGGTTTATTTCATTTTTTTTTTTTTTTTTTTACCGAGTTCTGACTTAGTTACAAGAAATTTACAACTTCTGCACTGTTTTGAATAAGAAGAATGTAACGTAGGAACTTGCATGTCTTTTTAACATCCATAGCTCTATTTAGTTGTTTAAAACAATCTTTTACATCTACTTGCTCTATTTTTTTTTCAATATTTGATCTCTGAATATTCATGGTATTTTTAATCTCATTTTAAATTGTGATCAGTTGCTATATGTTTCTTTCCATTGTCATGTTTTATTGTTATGATTATTTGGTTCCTTTTGTGATAGGATACATTAGAACATCCATTAACGATGGTCCTGGTTGTTTGACGCTGAGATGTCCTGATCCGTCTTGTGGTGCTTCTGTTGGTCAAGACATGATTAGTATGTTGGTCACTGAAGAAGATAACCTGAAGTACTCTTGGTACCTTATCAGGTCTTATATTGAAGACAACAAGAAGGTATATGTGGAATTTGATTTTGATTGTATGGGGCACTTGTCAGCCATTAATTCAATGGACTCCACATTACTAATAATGGATGATCAAAAGTTGGAGTACTTTATTAATTTTTCTTATTTTTTTATTTTATATAAAGTCTAGTTTCTTTCAGTCTAGCCCGTGCTTTTTCACTTCTTTATGTTTAGATTTGAACTTAATAAAAGATTCAAAAGCGATTTTATTTTGTCTATTTATAGAGATGTAAACCCAAAGTTGTACAATAAATCTGAAATGTTTTTGGGTACCCAAGATTTGAATTTTTTTTTTTTTATTATTGATAATATAAAACATCTATAAATGTCCTTAAGATTGGCTTTTCAATAACAATATCAAAGAGAACTTCTTAATGGATCAACTTTATCAAATGTCTATCTCATTACTTTGTTTCCTTTTGCTTAGAAAACTATGTTATCGTGATAAAAAAAGTCATGTTAAAAAAATGGTGTTATCTATGTGTTTCAGTACTCAATAGGTATCGAGGTTGACAATTTTAATTACTTTATTGAAAAATGATTAGTGGTTTCTTTTCTTTTCAATTACTCCTGTGCCTGTGTGGGCATGTGAGTGTGAATATATGAGTATCATTTTTTTATTAGTGGTTTATTTTCTTTTTGAGGGAACAATGATGTGTTCCTGTCTATTACTCTTGTGTGGTATAGTGAAATTTATGAATATCATTTTTCTTCCTTCATTTTTTTCCATTTTTCTCACCATGATTTGTAATTCTTTTTCTTTGCTGCTAGACCAAGTGGTGTCCTTATCCAGGTTGTGAATATGCTGTTAATTTTGTTGGTGATAATGAAAATTATGATGTATCTTGCCTCTGCTCCTATGGATTTTGCTGGAATGTAAGTTTCCTTTTGTAACTTTTGGTATTTAATATCTCAGCGAAAATTTATCTATATAGGTGAGTCATATTTTGTTTTGGCTGTGCAGTGTACAGAGGAAGCTCATCGTCCTGTTGACTGTAGCACTGTGGAGAAATGGATTTTAAAGAACGGTGCTGAGTCTGAAAACATGAACTGGTTTGTATTTTCTCTTAGCATCCAAAATTGTATTTTGTGGTTTTACACTTTTACAATTTACTTAATGCATTTCTCTTTTGATACATTTATTGGCTTTCTGGTTGCTTCCATGGTAAGAATACCCCTTCATTAAGTGCTTGTCATAAGTAGAGTATTATATTTTTCTTCTCCTCCTCCAACCTTTATTTTTCATTAATTTTCGTGTGCTGATTTGATGACTTCCACTGCTTTTGGTATACAAGGGAATTTAATGAGATAAATTGTGGGGAAATATTAACTTATTAAGTTGACCATGCTCCTGAAACTTTTGGGAATGTGATAAATTTATTATGGTACAAACTTTTGTTGTATTTGGTAAAGTTTAAGGCTCATGAAGTAAAGGTAGTGCTTGTGAATTTAACTGGATCTGCACATACCAGGATATTGCAGAAATTAGGGCTTGTTAGCTAGTATAATGGTCACTTCATTTCGTATTTCTAGAATAAATTTTTTTGGTAATAGATTTTATGCGCAAGTTACGTGTGTGCATGGGTTAGTGTGTCTAGCGTCAGAAATCCTCTTAAATTTTTTCCTTAGGCCATGTTTGGTAACTTGGATTGGATTAGGAGGGAGGGTTAGATTGCTTTGGATCACGTTGGATAACATTAATGCAATGTTCTGTTTGGGTGCACAGGATTACGGGGCTGTGAATAAACTAAAATATGCTTGTTTGAATTTAGTTTTCATGGCCTAGTGTAGGGCACGGTGCTGCGTCACTGGTCCTGTAACGTCTGGAAGTATATTCATTAATTATGTTGAATTGAGTGGTGCAAAGTGAAAACATGATTAGTTTTAGTTTCAGATACTCCATTGAAAGTTGACTTTTATCAACACTTTTATGTGAGTTGGTGGAATTCTTGGTAATTCACGATTCATTTTGTATTGTTCTGTCCTAACGTTTTTTAATGATGCTCAGGATACTGGCCAATTCTAAACCATGTCCAAAGTGCAAGCGGCCTATCGAAAAAAACCAAGGATGTATGCACATGACTTGCACACCACCCTGCAAATTTGAATTTTGCTGGTATGCTTTCTGCTTCTGTTTCTTACTTCAATGGAAATGTATTATTGTTTATAAAAAATATTTGAATACTTTTCTTTTGATTCTGTTCTAATATGGTTAAGTTTTACATGTGATGCTAAATGAATTATATGTACCGTGCAGGCTTTGCCTTGGTTCATGGGCGGAGCATGGTGAAAGGACGGGTGGTTTCTATGCATGTAACCGCTACGAGGCAGCTAAGCAAGAGGGAGCTGTAAGGATGATTTATACTTTTCTTTGTAGTAATTCTGTTTTATTTCCCCTTTTGGAAGAATAGCATTCTTTTTCTTCTATTACTTAGTGTTTGTATTATTGATTGTAGTATGATGAAGCTGAGAGAAGAAGAGAAATGGCAAAAAATTCTCTGGAGAAATACACTCATTATTATGAACGTTGGGCAAGCAATCAGCTGGTATTCACTATTTTCTTTTTCAAAATTCCGCTGTTTCTTGTGCTATACCATGAATTCATGCAAGAGATCTTCATCATGCCAATTTTTAACAAATTCAGTTATGTTAGTAGCCTGGCTGTGTTTTTTGTCAGTGACCTTTTTCTCAATGATCAGAGAAGATATTGCTTCTCTTGACACTTATTTGATTACACTCTGGGTTTCTATTTCAATTTTCACCGAATTTGTTGCAGCAAACAGTAGTAGGAAGGTAGACACCTGTGCGTGACTTCAGTTTTGCAGGGACTGCATAGGAGGGTGGAAGCTTCCTTAAATTAGAATCAAGAATTTTCTGTGCATTATTCTTCCATTTTACGAATTTAATTGGCTAAGCCTTAATGCTGCTTTAAAATGGATCTTTATGAAAGTCCTTCTCTCTTTCAATCATTGACTAATTTTTTTCTTCCTTGGCAGTCGAGGCACAAGGCTCTTGCAGATTTGAATCAAATGCGAACTGTGCATGTAAGTATATGTGCTACATGCACACATACATATATACGAACAAAACATATATACATGATTTCATGTATTAGCGATTTTCATTCTTGGATGAAGTTCAAATGTGTTTAACAGTATGAGCTTAGAGCTCATCTTTCTACTCCATTGTATAACTAGAACCATATATAAACTTTGCAGATCTGAAATATTATTGATCAGTTGTAATCGACCATGTTGCTAATGACAGATGCTAGGAAGATTGTATTCGTAATTGACCATGTTGCTAATGACAGATGCTAGGAAGATTGTACTTACTCTATTCATAGATGCAAGGCTAGAAATTAAGTTTGTGTAGGGTTAACAGCATAAACATGAGATTTTATGTGTTTTCACCTTTCAGAAATTAGACTTGATAGAATAGAAAAATTGACCATAGTTGTGTTTCTCATCTTTCGAGCGGATTGTAGAACTAGAACCGTAGTTGTGGCTGCACTTGCACCCTCTCATGTCAACTGGTAGACTTTGACAGTGTAAATTAAAAAAATCATCCTTTAGGGACGCTATATGGATGTCTCATTTGCATTTGTCGAAGATGTTACCTTTTTTTTTTTTTTTTCCATATCCAGGAGTAGGAAACTTATGTCTGAGTGTGTAAAGGAGATAGAATTAGTGTCCGTAGGTGGAGACAGGTTATGACTTGTGAGACAGTCAGTGGCTCTTCAACTATCTCGGTCATTAAATCAGAGATTCATGTTTAGTAGCATGCAATATTGGCTCCTTTATGGAATGTGTGGTAGGAAGGAAATGGTGGGTTATTCTTTTTTTGACAGAAGGCAAGGAAGTGGATATACTTAGAGATAGTATTAAATCTTTTGTTTCCTTTTAAAATCTCTGTTAAAGCATTCAAGAGATTCAGTGTATTTTATCTTGATTGGGTTTCTTCAGTTAAAAAAGGGTAGTTTATGTTTCTTAGTGAAAAAAATCATCGATTGCTAGAAGATGTTGGGTATGATTGTTTCAACTGGACTCTTGTCAGCTATTTGGGATTTCTATGAAGTTACTATGTAATAACTGATGAATACGTTGTTTTTCTCTCTCTCAGATGGAGAAACTTAGTGACATACAGCGCGAGCCTGAGTCTCAGCTCAAGTTCATAACCGATGCCTGGCAGCAGGTGAATTCCTGCGTTTCTTGTTAGATATAAAATGAATTAGTTTAGTGCACAGTGTACGTATAACATGAAATCAGATTTGTTTGGTGATGAAATGCTGACATTATTTTTGCCTTTTTTTCTTTGTGTTTGTAGATTGTTGAATGTAGGAGAGTTCTAAAATGGACATATGCTTATGGGTACTACCTGCCAGAGCGTGAGCAAGCGAAGAGGCAGTTTTTTGAGTACTTGCAAGGTATTAACTGTGTATATCTGCAGGAACTAGTTAGGAGTTGTTTTATAAGTTTTCTGAAATATTCAATTCTGCTTTTGTCTTCAGGTGAGGCAGAGTCTGCTTTGGAAAGGCTTCATCAGTGTGCAGAGAAGGAGCTACTGCAATTCCTTAGTGCAGAAGGCCCATCGAAAGAATTCGTTGATTTCCATACAAAGCTAGCTGGACTTACCGGGTAAATATTGTGATGAAATATTAGTTGAAATTCAATTGCCATGGAATGTTTAGTGTTGAAATGTGTCTTGTCCAAAAAAACAAATGGAGTTATGTGTAAATAAAGAGGAAATCTCTGATCTGGTTAACCGCACTGAATTTCCTAGTGTATAGTTGTCTGTTCAACATTGTCTGGATGCAAAATGCAGCAAATGAAAAGGTCGAATCAGTGAGTCTTTAGTATAGGAACTGGAAGGAAGACAATATCCTTTTCTGAGTGTGCGAATGAGTGAGTCTTTAGGATAGGAACTGGAAGGAAGACAATATCCTTTCATTTTTCATGTAATTTACTTGCGGATTTTTTTATTTTTATTTTTATTTTTTAAATTAGAGGTCTGTTATCGTGTTGTACGGTCAGTTATCTGTGACTACAAATTGATTCACTCGCTTGCCTGATTCAATCTTCTCATCCATTTCCCAATTGTGACAGGGTGACTAAAAATTACTTCCAGAACCTGGTAATGGCATTAGAGAAAGGCCTATGTGATGTGGACTCTCAAGCAGTTTGCGGTGGGTCAACAAGCTCAAAAAACGTAGGAAGCAGCAAAGCAAAAGGTGGAAGGGGAAAGGTAACCGGTCGAGGTGGTGGGTCCAGCAGAAATGTGTAGCACGGATATTTGGACCAGTGATCAGTATCGTACAACAATTCCACGCCTGCCACATGTGCCATCACCGTTGGTGAGTATTCTAGCTTCCTGTGTTCCCAAGTCTGTTGGAGAAAAGAAGTTAAACGCAAGCTAAGAACAAGTGTACAATAGACGATGGATTCTTGGTACGAAAACTATGATAGTCTGAAATGGAAAAAAATGCAGATGCCGTTTAGGGTTAAAAAAGGTTGGCCTGTTGGTATTTGTGTGTGTTGGTGGAAACATAATGTGATTATTCTGTACATAACATCGACGTGCTTATAAACTAGGGGTTCCACGACCTAATTTAAGTATATTGCAGTTGTCTATTTTGAATGCCGATATGCTGTATTTATTTTCGTATCAGTTTCAGTAACGTTTGTGTTTGGACTCGTTTTCTGAATCCGTATGCTGTGAAATTATTCTGAATTGCATTCATTGTAATAGTTAAAAGCTAGTAATGAGTAGCGGGAAAAAACATCGCATATCTGATGCTTCTCGCGTCATTGTTTGGTTTTGGTTTTTGCAGTTTGCACTCAACGAGTGTATGATCAAGAATGTTGGTTCTTCTAATTTCGGATTCGAACGGTGCCCTATTCTATCCTATTTTTACTTGAAATATATTTTGCTAATTAAAATGTGGCCATTTTTTGTTTCAAAGTCATTAAACATGTGTACAATCGGTGTTTGGAAAATGTTTTGTCTAAATTATTAGAAAATCATGGCAAAAAAGTATATTAATGCTTGAGGAAATTTGATGGGCTGGGAATAAAGATGTGTGTGGAAATAATACGAAGGAGGAATTGGATAATTTTGGTTTCAGTGGTCTATTAAAGTTTTATAGTCAAAATGGTCATTTAGATTAACATAATCCATCACTTCGATCATTGAGATTTGAGTTCCATAGAAGTAATCTCTGAGTTTGTCTGTTATCAATCATTTTGATCATTATGTGTAAAATTTTCATTGGATAAGGATAAAATGATAAAATTATGTTTAATTTATATCAAATCATTTTGACTCATTGTTTATTAAATTAATAGTATTTTTATCATTTTATCCATATTTAATAGAATTTTTTACTGAATAACTCAAAATAATTGATGATAAATAAATTCAGGGACTACTTTTATCGACTTCAAAATCTTATCGAGCACCTTACTCGCATCGCGTACTTCCAAACGCCACACTTCTCATATACATCTGGATCAAACAAACAACTCGTAACCGAGACAGTGATACGATTCTGCGATCCCTGGAGCTTTTGAGTTTTTGGTTTGACTAAAATACCCCGAGCTCTGCGTGCTGTATGATTTGAAATTCGAGGGTAATTTAGTCATTTGGTACACAATGTGGTTGGGTTGGGCCCTTTGGGGAGGGGTTCCCACTCGCAGGCGCCGAGGAGCACGTGATGAAACCCGCGTTTAAGCGGTCCTATTCCCAAACGGTCATATTTTCCCTTCTTTAAATTTCAAAACCCCCATCCCACTCCCTCACTGGATCTCTGGATCGCTCTCTCTCTCTCTCTCTCTCTCTCTGGCTCAAACGATCGTGTTGCGTTCTCTCTGTGTGCGTCGGAATTCGAAGCCCAATTCAAATTTGTTGCTCTCTCTCTCTCTCTCTCTCTTTCTCGCTTGATCTCTCTCTGAGCAGAAATTGGAAGCTCGATTCAAATTTGGGGACGAATACATCCTCTTCTCTGAGCAGAAAGTCAACGACTTGTTCCCAGTTCCAGGTTCAGTTCTTGCCTTTTCTTCTGTTTTATTTCTCGGTATCGTTAATTTCTGTCTGTCTGGCACTGTAACAAGAAACCCTAATCCCCAAATCCCGTATAATCAATTCAGTCGCACTCTTCCCTGATCTTCTTTATTAGCCCTTGTGTTTGGAAAGTGTTGCTTTTTCTTCTTCCACATTACCCACTTAGGTTTTTGGTTTTCGCAGAAAGCACACCGCTTTCGTCTGTTTGTCTTGTGTTTCGTGAAGAAATTGGAAAATTGGAGATGAGGGGTCAAGATTTGAGGCCCACTGTCTCTTCTCTCAAGCGTCCGCGTTTCCATGATTCCGATTCCGATGATGCCGTTACGGTTTTGGGTGATACGGTCAAGAGGCAGAGGACTCATGATTCGGATGATGATCTTTTGGTAATGGAGGACTCGATTAGGGAGCTTGATGATCTACTTCATCACGAGGGGTCCTCAAGCGGCACCACCGAAGCAAATGATTGCTTGGATGATGATCTGTTAAGATCCTTAATTGACGAGATTGAGCTTCTGCCTGATTCTGCTGTTGCGGCCTCTGCTGCAGACGAGGCTGCCGTTGTGCCTCGGCTGACTACTCTGTTGAAAATCAATGTCAAAGTTAGGTATGGAAAATTAGGCAATGTTAGGCATGGTTGAATAAAAATAAATTAGGTGCAATTAATATGTTTTGTGTGGTAATAAATAATCTTAGTTTATTCATTTGGTTTGCTATAAATACCCAAGTCCTCAAGCATTGTAAATCATCTAAGGAAAAACAAAGCCTAGAGCTAAATAAGAAAAGTTTTGCTAATTAGTTTGTTTTGTGAGCTTTAAGAGTGTGTTCTATTTTCTTCTTCTTGGGATCATTAGAGTTATTTTGGATACTCTTCTTATTCAACAATTGGTATCAGAGCCAAGTCGGTCAGGGATCGTTCTTGGTAGAGCATTGGTTGTAAAGTCTCTTGAAATTCCGAGTATGCTCTGTGGTTGCAGTTTTGACTGATCTTCCACATCAGAAAAGATTTCTTGAGATTATTGCTGGGGTTATCACAAACCTTGAGAGGGAGCTTCTTTGTGTCGAGAGTAGTGTATTACTCTGCACAGTAGTCACTCAAGCTTGCTCGGTGTAGTCAAAGTCTTGCCGATACGATGGGTGATCTTCAAGTTGTTGGAGGAATCAAGAAGCTCAACAACTAAAACTATAACACGTGGGCAACGTGTATAGAGTCTTACCTTCAAGGTCAAGACTTGTGGGAGGTTGTTGGTGGTAGTGAAGCTACACAACCGGCAGCGGAAGATGCTAACGGCGTCTTACAGAAGTGGAAAATTAAAGCAGGCAAATCAATGTTTGCTTTAAAGACCACAATAGAAGAAGAAATGTTGGAGCACATTCGGGATGCTAGAACGCCAAAGGAAGCATGGGACACTTTTGTTACACTCTTTTCGAAGAGGAACGATACAAAATTGCAACTTCTCGAGAATGAGCTGCTATCGATGGTACAACGTGACATGACGATTGCCCAGTACTTTCACAAGGTGAAGTCGATATGCCGCGAAATTTCAGAATTAGATCCAACAGCTCATATTGGGGAAACCAGGATGAAGAGAATAATTATCCATGGTTTGAGACCCGAATATCGAGGGTTCATTGCCGCTATACAAGGATGGCCGACACAACCATCGCTTGTTGAGTTTGAAAATTTGCTTGCAAGTCAAGAAGCTATGGCCAAGCAAATGGGAGGAGTCTCACTGAAAAGTGAAGAGGAAGCGCTCTACACCAACAAAAGCAAAGGCAGCTTTAAGCAGCGTGCTGGTGGTGGATCTAAAAGAAATGGTGACAAGGAAAAAGGTCATCAAGGAGGAGGGAGTTCTCGGCCAGGGGGAGCTCCGAAGTATCACGGCAACCGTGGTCAGTCCCAGAATAATAAAAGATTTGAGGACAAGTGTTACAATTGTGGAAAGAATGGCCACATGGCGAAAGATTGTTGGACCAAGAAAGAGCCTGTTGAAAGTAATACTGCTACTTCCAGTTCGAAGGAGAATAGTGAAGATGGTTGGGATGCTGAAGCATTATTCGCTACGGAGGAAGAAGAAGAATTAGCCCTCACGATAACAACACAAGAACGCATTGACTACAAAAATGATTGGATTGTAGATTCGGGCTGCTCAAATCATATGACGGGTGATAAACAGAAGCTGCAAAATCTATCTGAATACAAGGGAGGTCGTGTGGTGGTGACAGCCGACAACTCAAGGTTACCGATAGCTCACATTGGTAAGACAAAAGTTAAGCCTCGATATAATTCCAACCAGGTGCCACTTCAAGATGTTTATCATGTCCCAGGAATGAAGAAAAATTTGCTATCTGTAGCTCAATTGACATCATCGGGCCACCATGTCTTGTTTGGTCCACGAGATGTGAAGGTGTATCGTGACCTCAAAATCTCAGAAACACCAACAATGGAGGGGCGACGATTGGAGTCAGTCTACGTAATGTCAGCAGAATCTGCATATGTAGACAGGACAAAGAAAAATGAGACATCAGATCTATGACACATGCGGTTAGGTCACGTTAGCTATCACAAGCTAAATGTGATGATGAAGAAGTCGATGCTTAAGGGGCTTCCTCAACTTGACGTGCGAACAGACACAGTATGTGCAGGATGCCAATATGGTAAAGCACACCAATTGCCATATGAGGAATCGAAGTTTAAAGCAAAAGAACCATTAGAGTTAGTTCACTCTGATGTGTTCGGACCAGTTAAGCAACCGTCCGTTAGTGGTATGCGGTACATGATAACATTCATTGATGACTTCTCAAGATATGTGTGGGTCTTCTTTATGAAAGAAAAATCTGACACATTCTCAAAGTTTAAAGAGTTCAGAGAGTCAGCTGAAGGAGAAGTGGGAAAGAAGATCCGTTGCCTGCGCACAGATAACGGGGGAGAATATAGCTCAAGAGAGTTCTCTCAATACCTAAGGGAATGTCGAATACGTCATCAGTACATTTGTGCCAACACACCACAACAAAATGGTGTAGCTGAGAGAAAGAACCGGCATCTTGCAGAAGTCTGTCGAAGTATGCTACATGCAAAGAACGTACCGGGAAGGTTTTGGGCTGAAGCAATGAGGACTGCAGCCTTAGTGATCAGCAGACTTCCTCAACCAAGGTTAGGATTTGTTTCTCCCTTTGAGAAACTGTGGAACATGAAACCTACAGTTAGTTACTTTCGAGTATTTGGCTGTGTATGTTATGTATTTGTTCCTGATTATGTACGGAGCAAGTTTGACAAGAAAGCTGTTAGATGTATCTTTGTGGGATACAACAGCCAGAGAAAGGGATGGAAATGTTGCGATCCAACAAGTGGAAGATGTTATACTTCACGAGATGTGGTGTTTGATGAAGCATCTTCTTGGTGGTCCTTAGAGAAGGAGGTGCTACCAGACTCCAGAGAATTTGGAGAAAAGCTGCAACAGAAGATGGGGGATCATACTATCCAACTCCAACCAAGTTCAGATGAATCAGGAGATCCAAATGGCGATGATGTCGAACAAAGAGTGGCTCAGAATCCTTGGCAAACTGGCGTGTATCAACAACCAAACGAAGAAGGTGGGCCGAGTGAAACGGAAGAATCAACTCCACAATCTCAACTCCGAAGGTCAACAAGAGCACGGAGACCAAATCCCAAATATGCCAATGCAGCCATAATTGAAGAAGCAACAGAACCTGAGACGTTCGAAGAAGCATCGCAGAGTTCTGAGTGGATGACAGCTATGAAAGAAGAGCTTGATGCACTTCAGCAAAATCAGACTTGGGATCTCATGCCAAAGTCAAGAGATGTGAAACCCATATCCTGCAAGTGGGTTTACAAGATAAAGCGTCGTCCAAATGGGTCAATCGAGAGGTACAAGGCACGATTGGTAGCTCGTGGTTTCTCTCAACAGTACGGACTAGACTATGATGAAACGTTTAGTCCAGTGGCGAAGCTTACAACAGCACGAGTCTTACTTGCACTTGCAGCCAACAAAGACTGGAATCTGTGGCAGATGGATGTGAAGAATGCTTTTCTTCATGGAAAGCTGGATCGGGAGATCTACATGATCCAACTAATGGGATTTCAGAACCAAGATCATCCTGAATATGTGTGTAAACTGCGGAAAGCACTCTACGGATTGAAACAAGCACCCAGGGCGTGGTATGTTAAGATTGCTGAATTTCTAACACAAAGTGGTTATTCAGTAACACCTGCAGATTCCAGCTTGTTTGTTAAAGCCAATGAAGGAAAGCTAGCTATCGTGCTAGTGTATGTGGATGACTTGATCATAACCGGTGATGATGAGGCAGAAATTCTTCGGACGAATGAGAATTTATCAGTCCGTTTCCAGATGAAGGAACTTGGTCAACTCAAGCACTTCCTTGGTCTAGAGGTTGATCGCACACAAGAAGGAATATTTCTCTGTCAACAGAAGTATTCCAAAGATTTATTGAAGAAGTTCGGAATGCTCGAATGCAAGCTGATCTCTACGCCGATGGAGCCAAATGTCAAAATGAGTGCACATGAAGGAAAAGATTTGGAAGATGCGACGATGTATCGACAATTGGTAGGTAGTCTGATCTACTTAACCTTGACTCGACCTGACATTTCTTATGCAGTTGGTGTGATGAGTCGATACATGCAAAATCCAAAGAAGCCTCACTTGGAAGCAGTTCGACGAATACTAAGATATGTGAAGAGTACAATTGACTATGGTCTTTTGTACAAGAAAGGTGAAGACTGCAAGTTAGTTGGTTACTGTGATGCTGACTATGCGGGAGATCATGACACCAGGAGATCAACAACTGGGTATGTGTTTAAGCTTGGTTCTGGAACCATCTCTTGGTGTAGCAAGAGACAGTCGACGGTATCATTGTCAACCACTGAAGCAGAGTATAGAGCAGTAGCAATGACAGCTCAAGAGAATGCATGGCTGGTACAGTTGATGAGTGATCTACATCAACCAGTAGATTATCCAGTACCATTGTACTGTGATAACCAATCGGCCATTCGCTTGGCGGAAAATCCAGTCTTTCATGCAAGAACTAAACATGTGGAAGTGCACTACCACTTTATCAGAGAAAAGGTTCTACAAGAAGAGATTGAGATGAGACAAGTCAAGACGAATGATCAAGTTGCGGACTTGTTCACAAAAAGTTTAAGTACAGGCAAGCTCGAAAATTTTCGTTGTCTGCTCAGCACAGTGCAAAGAATGAGAGCTGACATTGAGGGGGAGTGTTGAAAATCAATGTCAAAGTTAGGTATGGAAAATTAGGCAATGTTAGGCATGGTTGAATAAAAATAAATTAGGTGCAATTAATGTGTTTTGTGTGGTAATAAATAATCTTAGTTATTCATTTGGTTTGCTATAAATACCCAAGTCCTCAGGCATTGTAAATCATCCAAGGAAAAACAAAGCCTAGAGCTAAATAAGAAAAGCTTTGCTAATTAGTTTGTTTTGTGAGCTTTCTTTAAGAGTGTGTTCTATTTTCTTCTTCTTGGTATCATTAGAGTTATCTTGGATACTCTTCTTATTCAACATACTCATGTCGGTCATCATCATCACGGGATTGAGGAGGGGCCAAGAACCACGGATGATGAGGAGGACTTGATCACTGAATTCTTTAATCATATTGGAGGAGAGGATGATGAAGACCCCAATCAAGATCATGTACATCAAGCTACTGAGCCTGATCACACTACTCTGCTCATCACCATCATCCCGTTCCCTCATTTTCAAGTCATTATTTTGCCAGTTGTGGTTGGAAACATAGGAAGGCCACGGGCCTCGGTTCTCCATTTTCTCTTGATTTGCTTGCTCACCATCATCATCATCTAGAAGCGGAGCAGGAGGAAGAGGACTTTACACGGAGTATACACGCCTTGCCTGAATCAAGTTGTCAAGCTATTAGCGTCAGCTCTTGTTTTTATACTACTAGTAGAGTTCAAGAATTCAGATGAGAACGGTTACCTTTCAGCTTTTTCTTTCCGACTGCCGGTTTAATCGTAGTTAGTTTATTAATTTTCAGTCTTTTTATTTACACGGAAGACGTGACATAGGACCGAGCGCAATGGCTTTGTAGGATTCATATAACCGACTCCACTTAGTGGGAAAAGACTTCGTTGTTGTTATTGTTGTGGATAGTTGTTGATAGAATAGTTTTCAGTCTGTTATTCGTCTAGCTGGTGGTCTTACTCCGTACTTTTGTCAATCTTGAGGAAATGTGTAGACAATATACGTATGAATGTACATGAAGTTCCCAATAGTTCTGATTGCACTTGCTTTTGTTCTTGTCATTTCTTTCAGCACACTAGTTTTTGTTTCAATTTTCAGACGTTGGCGAACAGTAGTACTCAGTTTATCACTGTTTGTTTCGACATCTACGTTTCGTTTCATGAATAATCAATCTGCTAATGACTGATTCCGGACATGTTTCTTATGAAATCTTCTCCAACATAGTTTTGGACAGGAAGAACATAAAAGGTGTATTAGAGCTGGGAGAAAATCTTGTTACTCCTATGAAAAATGAATATGCAACGTTATGTGAACATTGTGATTATGGCTTATTGTGTCAATCATAGGAAATCGTAACTGTGACTTGAACATAGGAACGTAGTGACAATAACTTCTCGTGTCAATCATGCAACGCTATGTGAATACAAATATGAAACAAATCTTTTTCATGTCGTAATCAACTTTCAATCCAACTTTCACCCTTAAATGTTTTGGTTCATTAATTTAATATAAAAATCTAAAAAAATTGACAATAAAATGCCAGATAACCAAAAGAACTGGACCCAGCAGAAAAACAAATGGGCCAATAAGTAAAAAAGGGTACCTAGCCCAATCGAATTTTTTTTTTCCCCTGCGTTATTTTAGTCATTTGGCTCACAATCTGGGGATTTTGTTTGTTTGGGGGGGGGGGGGGGGGGGGTGTGGTAGATATGAAAATGCCACGTGATTAAAACCCGCGCTTAAGCGGTGAGCCTTGCAAGTTTGCAACGTTAAATTCCCAAACCAAACGGTCATATTTTCTTACATTTAAATTTCAAATCCACTCTCTCTCTCTCTCTCTGTGCGTTCGAATTTGAACCAGAATTCGAATTCAGTGCTCCATCAGTCTCCGGTTGATTTGAATTACAGAATACTCGAAATCGATTCCTCTTCAGTTGCTCTTGTTTGGGGACGAAGACGACGATTGAGGAGACGTCGACGAGCCGCTCTCCTCGGCGAGCGAGCCAAATCGGCTTTCAGGTTTCCCTTTTTCTTCTCTTTAATTTCTCGCTTATTTTCTCTTCTTTATTGCATTGAATTGAAATCGCGTTTAACAATGGAGGAGGGTTATTACGGTATGCCATTGGGTTTTCGGTTTCATCCTACTGATCAAGAATTGTTCAGTTCCTATCTTCGCGATAGAGCCCTCTCCGGAAAGCCCTTGGGCAACCCGTTTGTTCACGAGTTCAATCTCTTTGGACAAACACCACCCTGGGTGGTTTGGGAGCAATTCGGTGGAAATTCCCTACTCGATCAGGACTTGTTCTTCTTCTATGAGCTGCGTTCTAGAAGCGACAGCGACAGCCGCAGCAAACGCCAGATCGAAGCCGGAGGCACTTGGAGTGAAACATCCTCCGATAAAGTTTTAGGTTTGGACGGAATTCCAATCGGGGATAAAGGGCATTTCAGGTATAACAACAAGGGTTCTAACAACAACGGCGGCTGGCTGTTAGAAGAGTACAGTCTTCTTCCTAATGTAGTAGCTGGCCCAAAGGTCGTTCTTTCCCGACTTAAAAGGAATCCGAGGTCTAGGTGTGGAAGCAAGATGAATTCCTCAAATCCAACTCACGACTTCAATGAAAGCAATATGATTACTGACATTAACGGCAATGCGAAGCCGACTGATTTCTCTGATCAGGATAGTGTGATATTGATGAGTGATTTTCCTTCTTACCCCATTTGCTTGGAAAGCGACACTAGCAATCACGACCAGGGGTGCATAATCTACATTAAGGGAAATGTGATGCCCATTCCCACTCATATTTCAGATCATGAATATGTGCCACTGATGAGTGATGTTCCTTCTTCTCTGATATTCTTGGGCTGCGAGGAATATCCTTTAGACGGTGAAGCAGTGCGTGGAGACATTAAAGAATGGTTGACAACGCTTGAAGGTAAATTGCCCCAGGAGTGGCCTCAAATTGACGAATTCAGCCAACCGTTAGATGGGTTCAATTACTGGACAGACTGTTTGTGGATGAGCGATTCTGCGAATGATCAATAGAGGGACGTAGAGGTGCGGCTGCTGTCTATTTCCTCGCTCTGCTCGACTCCTCATCCTGCTTGACAACCTCGCTGGACCATCCCAGGACCACCGTCGCGTCCTCGTAAATCACAACTTCCTCTGCCACTTTCTCTTCTTAGTTTTCTTCAGTTTTGTTTTGAAGATTCGTCAAATTATTAATGGGTTTTGATAGATTTTTGTTTTTGATCGATTTGTTTAATTGATTTCTCATATTTGATTGGTTTCTAGGTTTTGATTGCTACCCATTTGTTTTCAATTTATCTGCTATTTTTCCTTTTATGAATTGAAATACAAAGTTGTTATATGTAAATTGTGATATGTTTTGTTATTAACTCATTAATTTCTGCTGGTATATGATCTTTTCCAGTTAATCAATACCTTTTACATTAAGGCTTATGGTAGTCTTACAAAAATCCAACGAATTGAGTGGAACTGTCGGTGAGGGTGAGGGTGAAACCAATGTTCAAGAAATCTTATACAAGGCTCGTTCATCTTCTAAACTGCAAATTTGGTTCTATTTACTATCAATTTGAGTCGATGAAAATTTGATAATTCTCCAAGTTGCAAAAGCACCTGCAATTTGTGAAGAAGAAGAGGGCTATGCCCTTTTATTTTTTCATATATTCATTTTGATATTTTTAATAAAAAATAAATTAAAATATTATAATAATAATAATTTATTGTTAGTCTAGCTTCTTAGTCCAACGCTACACCAAACGCTTCATTAAGCCAGTCCAGTTTAGTCTAGTCTAAGCCAATCCAGCTTAGTTCCTAAAGCTAGTCCAGTCCGAGACAATCCGGTGCAACAAACGCACCCTCACAGTCTAGCCCGTGTTTTTTCACTTCTTTAGGTGTAGATTTGAACTTAATAAAAGATTCAAAAGCGATTTTATTTTGTCTATTTATAGAGATGCAAACCCAAAGTTGTACAATAAATCTGAAATGTTTTTGGCTACCCAAGATTTGAATTATTATTATTAATAATAATATAAAACATCTATAAATGTCCTTAAGATTGGCTTTTCAATAACAATATCAAAGAGAACATGTTAATGTATCAACTTTATCAAACGTCTATCTCATTACTTTGTTTAAAGAAAACTAATGTTATCATGATAAAAAAGTCATGTTAAAAAAAATGGTGTTATCTATGTGCTTCAGTACTCAATAATGCCAGGTTGACAATTTTAAGCAGAAATTAGGTTCTCATTTCTCCTTTTGCTACTCTATTGATTAAAATTTTATTCATTTTCAATTTTTGATCAAGATCCTTGGGTATTAATAACATCATTAATTATTTTAATAATAAAATATTTTTTATTTCTAAATATATTCATTTAGTGTTAAAAATGTTACAATTAGTATATTTATATTTATGGCTAAATTTTTTATCATATATTTTTATTTTTAGTTTGTACCCATTTTTAATTTGCAAATCTTTTTTAATTTGTACCAATTTTCTTTTCAGTTTTAATTTGTATCCGTATATTAATTATTTTTTTGCCCATTTGTTTACCAGCATGTGACATTGTATAATTAATCAATGATAGAAAAATTACATATGGTATATTTATGTTTATGGCTAAACTTTGTATCATATATTTATATTTTTAGTTTGTACCCACTTTTAATTTGCAACCTTTTTTTAAATTTGTAATATTTTATTTTTAGTTTTAATTTGTACCCATCTATTAAACTTTGTATTGTCGTCCTGTCGACTGTAGCACTGTGGAGAAATGGATTTCAAACAACAGTGCTGAGTCTGAAAACATGAACTGGTTTGTATTTTCTCTTAGCATCCAAAATTGTATTTTGTGGTTTTACACTTTTATTTAATGCATTTCTCTTTTGATACATTTATTGGCTTTCTGGTTGTTTCCATGGTAAGAATACCCCTTCATTATGTGCTTGTCATAATTAGAGTATTATGTTTTTCTTCTCCTTCTCTAACCTTTATTTTTCACTAATTTTTGTGTGCTGATTTGATAACTTCCACTGCTTTTGGTATGCAAGGGAATTTAATGTGATAAATTGTGGGGAAATATTAACTTTTTTGGTAATAGGTTTTATGCGCAAGTTACGCGTGTGTGCATGGATTAGTGTGTCTAGCGTATGAAATCCTCTTAAATTTTTGCCTCAGACCATGTTTGGTAACTCGGATTGGATTAGGACGGAGGGTTAGATTGCTTTGGATCATGTTGGATAACATTAATGCAATGTTCTGTTTGGGTGCTACACATGATACGGGACTGTGAATAAACTAAAACATGCTCGTTTGAATTTAATTTTCATGCCCTAGTGTAGGGCACGGTGCTGCGTCACTGGTCCTGTAACGTCTGGAAGTATATTCATTAATTCTGTTGAATTGAGTGGTGCAAAGTGAAAACATGATTAGTTTTAGTTTCAAATACTCCATTGAAAGTTAACTTTTATCAACACTTTTATGTGAGTTGGTGGAATTCTTGGTAATTCACGATTCATTTTGTATTGTTCTGTCCTAACCTTTTTTAATGATGCTCAGGATACTGGCCAATTCTAAGCCATGTCCAAAGTGCAAGCGGCCTATCGAAAAAAACCAAGGATGTATGCACATGACATGCACACCACCCTGCAAATTTGAATTTTGCTGGTATGCTTTCTGCTTCTGTTTCTTACTTCAATGGAAATTTATTATTGTTGGAAAAAAATATCTGAATACTTTTCTTTTGATTCTGTTCTAATATGGTTAAGTTTTACATGTGATGCTAAATGAATTATATGCACCGTGCAGGCTTTGCCTTGGTTCATGGGTGGAGCATGGTGAAAGGACGGGTGGTTTCTATGCATGTAACCGCTACGAGGCAGCTAAGCAAGAGGGAGCTGTAAGGATGATTTATACTTTTCTTTGTAGTAATTCTGTTTTATTTCCCCTTTTGGAAGAATAGCATTCTTTTTCTTCTATTACTTAGAGTTTGTATTATTGATTGTAGTATGATGAAGCTGAGAGAAGAAGAGAAATGGCAAAAAATTCTCTGGAGAAATACACTCATTATTATGAACGTTGGGCAAGCAATCAGCTGGTATTCACAATTTTCTTTTTCAAAATTCCGCTGTTTCTTGTGCTATACCATGAATTCATGCAAGAGATCTTCATCGTGCCAATTTTTAACAAATTCAGTTATGTTAGTAGCCTGGCTGTGTTTTTTGTCAGTGACCTTTTTCTCAATGATCAGAGAAGATATTGCTTCTCTTGACACTTATTTGATTACACTCTGGGTTTCTATTTCAATTTTCACCGAATTTGTTGCGGCAAACAGTAGTAGGTAGGTAGACACCTGTGCGTGACTTCAGTTTTGCAGGGACTGCATAGGAGGGTGGAAGCTTCCTTAAATTAGAATCAAGACTTTTCTGTGCATTATTCTTCCATTTTACGAATTTAATTGGCTAAGCCTTAATGCTGCTTTAAAATGGATCTTTATGAAAGTCCCTCTCTCTTTCAATCATTGGACTAATTTTTTTTCTTCCTTGGCAGTCGAGGCAAAAGGCTCTTGCGGATTTGAATCAAATGCGAACTGTGCATGTAAGTATATGTGCTACATGCACACATACATATATACGAACAAAACATATGTACATGATTTCATGTATTAGCGATTTTCATTCTTGGATGAAGTTCAAATGTGTTTAACAGTATGAGCTTAGAGCTCATCTTTCTACTCCATTGTATAACTAGAACCATATATAAACTTTGCAGATCTGAAATATTATTGATCAATTGTAATCGACCATGTTGCTAATGACAGATGCTAGGAAGATTGTATTCGTAATTGACCGTGTTGCTAATGACAGATGCTAGGAAGATTGTACTTACTCTATTCATAGATGCAAGGCTAGAAATTAAGTTTGTGTAGGGTTAACAGCATAAACATGAGATTTTATGTGTTTTCACCTTTCAGAAATTAGACTTGATAGAATAGAAAAATTGACCATAGTAGTGTTTCTCATCTTTCGAGCGGATTGTAGAACTAGAACCGTAGATGTGGTTGCACTTGCACCCTCTCATGTCAACTGGTAGACTTTGACAGTGTAAATTAAAAAAATCGTCCTTTAGGGATGCTATATGGATGTCTCATTTGCATTTGTCGAAGATGTTACCTTTTTTTTTTTTCCATATCCAGGAGTAGGAAACTTATGTCTGAGTGTGTAAAGGAGATAGAATTAGTGTCCGTAGGTGGAGACAGGTTATGACTTGTGAGACAGTCAGTGGCTCTTCAACTATCTCGGTCATTAAATCAGAGATTCATGTTTAGTAGCATGCAATATTGGCTCCTTTATGGAATGTGTGTTAGGAAGGAAATGGTGGGTTATTCTTTTTTTGACAGAAGGCAAGGAAGTGGATATACTTAGAGATAGTATTAAATCTTTTGTTTCCTTTTAAAATCTCTGTTAAAGCATTCAAGAGATTCAGTGTATTTTATCTTGATTGGGTTTCTTCAGTTACAAAAGGGTAGTTTATGTTTCTTACTGAAAAAAATCACTGATTGCTAGAAGATGTTGGGTATGATTGTTTCAACCGGACTCTTGTCAGCTATTTGGGATTTCTGTGAAGTTACTATGTAATAACTGATGAATACGTTGTTTTTCTCTCTCTCAGATGGAGAAACTTAGTGACATACAGCGCGAGCCTGAGTCTCAGCTCAAGTTCATAACCGATGCCTGGCAGCAGGTGAATTCCTGCGTTTCTTGTTAGATATAAAATGAATTAGTTTAGTGCACAGTGTACGTATAACATGAAATCAGATTTGTTTGGTGATGAAATGCTGACATTATTTTTGCCTTTTTTTCTTTGTGTTTGTAGATTGTTGAATGTAGGAGAGTTCTAAAATGGACATATGCTTATGGGTACTACCTGCCAGAGCGTGAGCAAGCGAAGAGGCAGTTTTTTGAGTACTTGCAAGGTATTAACTGTGTATATCTGCAGGAACTAGTTAGGAGTTGTTTTATAAGTTTTCTGAAATATTCAATTCTGCTTTTGTCTTCAGGTGAGGCAGAGTCTGCTTTGGAAAGGCTTCATCAGTGTGCAGAGAAGGAGCTACTGCAATTCCTTAGTGCAGAAGGCCCATCGAAAGAATTCGTTGATTTCCATACAAAGCTAGCTGGACTTACCGGGTAAATATTGTGATGAAATATTAGTTGAAATTCAATTGCCATGGAATGTTTAGTGTTGAAATGTGTCTTGTCCAAAAAAACAAATGGAGTTATGTGTAAATAAAGAGGAAATCTCTGATCTGGTTAACCGCACTGAATTTCCTAGTGTATAGTTGTCTGTTCAACATTGTCTGGATGCAAAATGCAGCAAATGAAAAGGTCGAATCAGTGAGTCTTTAGTATAGGAACTGGAAGGAAGACAATATCCTTTTCTGAGTGTGCGAAGTGAAGAGATAAAAGTGTGCAAGAACCGGCTTTTCTGAGTGTGCGAATGAGTGAGTCTTTAGGATAGGAACTGGAAGGAAGACAATATCCTTTCATTTTTCATGTAATTTACTTGCGGATTTTTTTATTTTTATTTTTATTTTTTAAATTAGAGGTCTGTTATCGTGTTGTACGGTCAGTTATCTGTGACTACAAATTGATTCACTCGCTTGCCTGATTCAATCTTCTCATCCATTTCCCAATTGTGACAGGGTGACTAAAAATTACTTCCAGAACCTGGTAATGGCATTAGAGAAAGGCCTATGTGATGTGGACTCTCAAGCAGTTTGCGGTGGGTCAACAAGCTCAAAAAACGTAGGAAGCAGCAAAGCAAAAGGTGGAAGGGGAAAGGTAACCAGTCGAGGTGGTGGGTCCAGCAGAACTGTATAGCACGGATATTTGGACCAGTGATCAGTATCGTACAACAATTCCATGCCTGCCACATGTGCCATCACCGTTGGTGAGTATTCTAGCTTCCTGTGTTCCCAAGTCTGTTGGAGAAAAGAAGTTAACGCAAGCTAAGAACAAGTGTACAATAGACGATGGATTCTTGGTACGAAAACTATGATAGTCTGAAATGGAAAAAAATGCAGATGCCGTTTAGGGTTAAAAAAGGTTGGCCTGTTGGTATTTGTGTGTGTTGGTGGAAACATAATGTGATTATTCTGTACATAACATCGACGTGCTTATAAACTAGGGGTTCCACGACCTAATTGAAGTATATTGCAGTTGTCTATTGTGAATGCCGATATGCTGTATTTATTTTCGTATCAGTTTCAGTAACGTTTGTGTTTGGACTCGTTTTCTGAATCCGTATGCTGTGAAATTATTCTGAATTGCATTCATTGTAATAGTTAAAAGCTAGTAATGAGTAGCGGGAAAAAACATCGCATATCTGATGCTTCTCGCGTCATTGTTTGGTTTTGGTTTTTGCAGTTTGCACTCAACGAGTGTATGATCAAGAATGTTGGTTCTTCTAATTTCGGATTCGAACGGTGCCCTATTCTATCCTATTTTTACTTGAAATATATTTTGCTAATTAAAATGTGGCCATTTTTTGTTTCAAAGTCATTAAACATGTGTACAATCGATGTTTGGAAAATGTTTTGTCTAAATTATTAGAAAATCATGGCAAAAAAGTATATTAATGCTTGAGGAAATTTGATGGGCTGGGAATAAAGATGTGTGTGGAAATAATACGAAGGAGGAATTGGATAATTTTGGTTTCAGTGTTCTATTAAAGTTTTATAGTCAAAATGGTCATTCAGATTAACATAACCCATCACTTCGATCATTGAGATTTGAGTTCCATAGAAGTAGTCTCTGAGTTTATCTATTATCAATCATTTTGATCATTCTGTGTAAAATTTTCATTAGATAAGGATAAAATGATAAAAATATCTTTAATTTTTATCAAATCATTTTGACTTATTGTTTATTAAATTGATAGTATTTTTGTCATTTTATCCATATTTAATAGAATTTTGTACTGAATAACTCAAAATAATTGATGATAGACAAATTATCAAGCACCTTACTCGCATCGCGTACTCCCAAACGCCACACTTCTCATATACATCTGGATCAAACAAACAACTCGTAACCGAGACGGTGATACGATTCTGCGATCCTTTGAGCTTTTGAGTTTTTGGTTTGACTAAAATACCCCGAGCTCTGCGTTCTGCATGATTTGAAATGCGAGGGTAATTTAGTCATTTGGTACACAATGTGGTTGGGTTGGGCCCTTTGGGGAAGGGTTCCCACTCGCAGGCGCCAAGGAGCAGAGGGAAAACGGCACGTGATGAAGCCCGCGTTTTAGCGGTCCTATTCCCAAACGGTCATATTTTCCCTTCTTTAAATTTCAAAACCCCCATCCCACTCCCTCACTGGATCTCTGGATCGCTCTCTCTCTCTCTCGCTCAAACGATCGTGTTGCGTTGTTGCGGTCTCTCTGTGTGCGTCCGCATTCGAAGCCCAATTCAAATTTGTTGCTCTCTCTCTCTCTCTCTCTGAGCAGAAATTGGAAGCTTGATTCAAATTTGGGGACGAATACATCCTCTTCTCTGAGCAGAAAGTCGACGACTTGTTCCCAGTTCCAGGTTCAGTTCTTGCCTTTTCTTCTGTTTTATTTCTCGGTATCGTTAATTTCTGTCTGTCTAGCACTGTAACAAGAAACCCTAATCCCCAAATCCCGTATAATCAATTCAGTCGCACTCTTCGCTGATCTTCTTTATTAGCCCTTGTGTTTGGAAAGTGTTGCTTTTTCTTCTTCCACATTACCCACTTAGGTTTTTGGTTTTCGCAGAAAGCACACCGCTTTCGTCTGTTTGTCTTGTGTTTCGTGAAGAAATTGGAAAATTGGAGATGAGGGGTCAAGATTTGAGGCCCACTGTCTCTTCTCTCAAGCGTCCGCGTTTCCCTGATTCCGATTCCGATGATGCCGTTACGGTTTTGGGTGATACGGTCAAGAGGCAGAGGACTCATGATTCGGATGATGATCTTTTGGTAATGGAGGACTCAATTAGGGAGCTTGATGATCTACTTCATCACGAGGGGTCCTCAAGCAGCACCACCGAAGCAAATGATTGCTTGGATGATGATCTGTTAAGATCCTTAATTGACGAGTTTGAGCTTCTGCCTGATTCTGCTGTTGCGGCCTCTGCTGCAGACGAGGCTGCCGTTGTGCCTCGGCTGACTACTAATCTCGGTCATCATCATCACGAGATTGAGGAGGGGCCAAGAACCGCGGATGAAAGAGCGTTGGATGATGAGGAGGACTTGATCACTGAATTTTTTAATCATATTGGAGGAGAGGATGATGAAGACCCAAATCAAGATCATGTGCATCAAGCTACTGAGCCTGATCACACTACTCTGCTCATCACCATCATCCCGTTCCCTCCTTTTCAAATCATTATTTTGCCAGTTGTGGTTGGAAACATAGAGAGGCCACGGGCCTCGGTTCTCCATTTTCTCTTGATTTGCTTGCTCACCATCATCATCATCTAGAAGCGGAGCGGGAGGAAGAGGACTTTACACGGAGTATACACGCCTTGCATGAATCAGATGAGCACGGTTACCTTTCAGCTTTTTCTTTCCGACTTCCGGTTTAATCAAGATTAGTTTTTTAGTTTTCAGTCTTTTTATTTACACGGAAGACATGATATAGAACCGAGCGCAATGGTGTTCTAGGATTCATATAGCCGACCCCACTTAGTGGGAAAAGGCTTTGTTGTTGTTGTTGTTGTTGTTGTGGATTGAATAGTTTTCAGTCTGTTATTTCGTCTAGCTGGTGGTCTTACTCTGTACTTTTGTCAATCTTGAGGAAATCTGTAGACAATATACATATGAATGTACATGAAGTTCCCAATACTTCTGATTGCACTTACTTATGATCTTGTCATTTCTTTCATTTAGCACACTCTGAGTTTTCGTTTCAATTTTCAGACGTTGTCGTTGTGGCAAACAGTAGTACTCAGTTTATCACTCTTTGTTTCGACATCTACGTTTCGTTTCATGAATAATCAATCTGTTAATGACTGATTCCGGACGTGTTTCTTATGAAGTCTTCTGCAACATAGTTTTGGACCGGAAGAATATAAAGGTGTATTAGAGTTGGGAGAAAATCTTGTTACTCCTATGAAAAATGCATATGCAAGGCTATGTGAATATCGTGACTACGACTTCTCGTGTCAATCATAGGAAATTGTGACTGGCTTGGACATAGGAAATTAAAAAAATCGTGATTTCCTATGATTTCTTATGTTTAAGTCATAGTCACGATTTCATGTTGCAAAACATATCCATGTTGAACAATTTGTATGACATTAGTATATCGTGACTATAACTTTTCATGTCAATCATGCAACGCTATGAGAATAAAAATACGAAACAAATCTTTAGGGTTTCGTAGATATGAAAATGCCACGTGATTAAAACCCGCGCTTAAGCGGTGAGCCTTGCAAGTTTGCAACGTTAAATTCCCAAACCAAACGGTCATATTTTCTTACATTTAAATTTCAAATCCACTCTCTCTCTCTCTCTCTCTCTCTCACTCTCTCTGTGCGTTCGAATTTGAACCAGAATTCGAATTCAGTGCTCCATCAGTCTCCGGTTGATTTGAATAACAGAATACTCGAAATCGATTCCTCTTCAGTTGCTCTTGTTTGGGGACGAAGACGACGATTGAGGAGACGTCGACGAGCCGCTCTCCTCGGCGAGCGAGCCAAATCGGCTTTCAGGTTTCTCTTTTTCTTCTCTTTAATTTCTCGCTTATTTTCTCTTCTTCATTTTGTGCCCAAGAAAAGTTTAGGGTTTTTGGTGCTGCGTTTGTTTTGTTTTGAATTACATTGAATTGAAATCGCGTTTAACAATGGAGGAGGGTTATTACGGTATGCCATTGGGTTTTCGGTTTCATCCTACTGATCAAGAATTGGTCAGTTCCTATCTTCTCGATAGAACCCTCTCCGGAAAGCCCTTGGGCAACCCGTTTGTTCACGAGTTCAATCTCTTTGGACAAACACCACCCTGGGTGGTTTGGGAGCAATTCGGTGGAAATTCCCTACTCGATCAGGACTTGTTCTTCTTCTACGAGCTGCGTCCTAGAAGTGACAGCGACTGCCGCAGCAAACACCAGATCGAAGCCGGAGGCACTTGGAGCGAAACATCCTCCGACAAAGTTTTAGGTTTGGACGGAATTCCAATCAGGGATAAAGGGCATTTCAGGTATAACAACAAGGGTTCTAACAACAATGGCGGCTGGCTCTTAGAAGAGTACAGTCTTCTTCCTAATGTAGTTGCTGGCGCAAAGGTCGTTCTTTCCCGACTTAAAAGGAATCCGAGGTCTAGGTGCGGAACCAAGATGAATTCCTCAAATCCAACTCACGACTTCAATGAGAAGCCACCGACTAAGAGGGCAAGAAAAGAAGTATCGAATGAGAAGCTGCCGATTAAGAGAAACAGAGCAAGAAAAGAACCGGGTTCACAAAAACTTTCTAATGTGAATGTGATCACCAATACCCCTGCTGTTGTGCCTTTTGTTGGGACTGAAAGCAACATGATTAGTGACTCTAGGTATCAGGATCAGGAGTGCAGAACCAACATTAACGGCAATGCGAAGCCAACTGATTTCTCTGATCAGGATAGTGTGATATTGATAAGTGATGTTCCTTCTTATCCCATTTGCTTGGACAGCGACACTAGCAATCACGACCAGGGGTGCATAAGCTACATTAAAGGAAATGTGATGCCCATTCCCACTCATATTTCAGATCATGAATATGTGCCACTGATGAGTGATGTTCCTTCTTCTCCGATATTCTTGGGCGGCGGGGAATATCCTTTAGACGGTGAAGCAGTGCGTGGAGACATTAAAGAATGGTTGACAACGCTTGAAGGTAAATTGCCCCAGGAGTGGCCTCAAATTGACGAATTCAGCCAACCGTTAGATGGGTTCAATTACTGGACAGACTGTTTGTGGATGAGTGATTCTGTGAATGATCAATAGACTGTTTGTGAATTTCCATGGCGTGCATATAGAAGCACAGTTATGATCAGGATAGATTTTATTTCCGTTCTTAGTATATATGCTTTGATTTCTTTTGGTTCATTAGTTAATTAAGAAATTTGGTAGAGGTGTTTACCTGGGCCTTCTTCTCCGCCATACTGATCCATTGCCTGCCTTTCATTTTGCTGCACCTCAGGTCTACTGCGTTTCCCTCAGTCATGTGTATGTATGTGCTTCTAGGATCGTTTCCAATTTTAATGCACTGAATGCTTTATAATACTTTTCTTTTCCACCCAAGTTTCTTACTCTCTTTTTATTTTTATTGACAAAAGGTTTCCAATTTCAAGGTTGATGATTTCAATTACTATACTAAATTAGAAAATCAAATTAATGTTTTCTTTTCCTTTGAATTACTCCCTCTGCATGTGTGGCTTGTGAGCATAAGCATGTTCTGTGTATTGTGCTTGAATTTTGATGGTAACATGGTGTGTTAAGTGTTCAGTGTCAGTTTGTGAACGTGTTGATAGTTTTGTTGACGATAAGGACAATTATCATGTTTCTTGCCACTGTTTTTATGGATTTTTTTGTGGAATGTAAGTTTTCTCTCTTTAATTTTTAGTATTCATACCTTAGTCTATATTAGATGTGTCACGTTCTGTTTTGGACCAGCAATGCAAGTTTCTCGCTGTTGTCCTTAACTGATTTTCTATTGGTCTTGACATCTTGTCCATAACTGATTTTCTTTTTACAGTTCTTTAATTCTCTAACTCCACCTGTGTAAGTTTATCTTACACTGCCGGTCCCAAGCCCGGATAAAGGAAGAGGGGGAGGGCATCAAGTAGTCGACAACCGGCACTTCGTTTTCTCGTCTATTCCCTATGAGTTCTTTAATTTCTCTGCTCAACAGGATGGTCGTGATTCTAAAAAATTGAAGCTTTACAAATTGCATCTCTTTAAGTACGAGGTAGGATGTGGAGCTCACATGCTGTTCCCTGTGTACTTGCAGTTCTTTTGGTGTAGATTTCTTCACCATGTAGGACTTGTTTTTGAAGCTACTGTCTCTTAGGTTTTCAGTTTCAGTAGCTGTTGATGCGTCTGATATTATGTATGTCACATTCGTGAGAGCATGACAGTCCTCATTTTGATCATTTGAAAGAAATGCCTTCAATTGCATTTCTGATGTGTCTGGTATTATTTTTATGTTTGCTATCATTTGGCATTCATAGAGACACACTAAGATGAACAAGTAATATAAATTATCTCAATATTCAAAATTTGTAAAGGGTCATCAATTTCCTGGTTTCCACGTCAGGTATTAAGAGAAACACGATGATGGGGAACATTGCACTCATAGGTCGTGATTTTAGATTTGTCGAATTGAACAAGGCTTCCTTCTATGCTTTATACTCTTGTTTCCTATTCTATATTATCTGCGGGCAAGGCATGCTTGCCTATTCATGCTTCAAATTGTGCCATATTTGTTGTTTCATGTTGTATATGTATGCGCTTTTCAATATGAAGTGGTGGAGGGTATTAAAATTACCTCATTTTGAAGAGTTCTTCAACGTGTTGATTGTGGTTTTGCAATTTGTTAGGCGTCTGCACTGCAGATTCAGATAGAGAGGTAGTGAGAAAAAAGATGATGATGATCTTTGAGATTTGATTTGGAGGCCTTGATTGGAGAGTTTGATCTCCTGCCTGATCCTGCCGCCGCTGCCGCGGCCTCTGTTGCAGATGAGATCAAGATGGGGCTAAGAACAACAGATGAATGAGATGATTATGAGGACTTGATTGTGAATATATTTGATCGTCTTGGAGGAGAGATGATGCGTGGTGAGTACCCTAATCAAGATCATGCACAACAACCTGCTGCACCTGATGACAAATTGACACCGGGTACAGATTCAAAGTCAGATTGGTTTCTGTCTGATTTTCCCAGCCCATCTTACAAAAGTAGTTGCCGGGGTCATGACTTTCAGTCATCTAATTCTGGTGTGATTTTGCATCAGGACATGCTTCTGAAGCTGAAGATTTGGAAGATCTAACTTATTGATGAACCGCTTTTCTGGCCATTTGAGCAGAAAACTGATTGGAATTCAGAAGCAAACTGCAATTACTTTTCCATGTCACCCCGGAAGGGCATAAGTATAACAGCGTCTGAAACTCCATCAGATTCAATTCCGTTAGAACACCATGATAGGAACATGGATGCCGAAGAAGGGCAGGGGGTAAGACTAGTTTTCAGCTCAGGATCAGCAGCATCGAAGATTATGAAATTGAAGCAAAAATACAAGGGTGTCCCGCGGACTAATACTTTGCCTTCAAGGTTGAGCAAGGCAACCAAAATTTGTGAGAAAAATGTACCTTTAGATACCAAATATTATGCTGTAGAACCCGAAAATGGAAAAGTACATGTCAATGAACCAGTTGGTATGGTTAACGATCGCATAGATGAAGATATTGCAGCAAAAGAAGTTCTCATTGAGACATTCACGGGCCTTGCTGAGTTTGATGGACACAAGCATGTTGATTCAGAATTCAACGAAGATGATTTCTCATTGCATGCGTCTCTTTGTTAGTTTGATTGTAGAGCGTTTCTCATTGTGTAGATGAATGAACCACAAAGTGAAAATCTGGATGCTTATAACAGTCTTGGTCAGTCTTTTAACAATCATATACAGTCGGTTTAAGGCACAGCGTGGCCTGAAAGTATCACCTGACAATAGAAGTCCAATGCGATAAGGGTCACATCTCATCCAGTTATTTTCGCTCTTTCAGCAACTTCTGCACAGTCAACTTATTTGTAGGTTGTTTACATTTCACTGTAATCCCTATTGCCGCATTCTCTTTTCTTGTTTATTAGTTTTGCAAGAAAATTTCAGCTCAAAAATCGTTTGAAGCCAGCCAACCAATAAGCAGATACCATACTGTCTCCCCATGTCTCCAATCCACATGTGCCTTTGGTTTGATGGATCCGTGTAGGACAACGATTAAACTAAAAGAGTTACAATTATAATTCAAGGATTATGAGAACAACTCCTGATGGGATTTGGTTCAACGCACAGAAGCTATAGATTTGATGTCCTGGTCAGTGTTGGATTGAGGCAAAGCAGCCACGCTTGTTTATCATTATGTGGGTGGTTCCAAAGCCACAGGGACACCCGAGACTTGCTCACAATACTACGGTGTTATTCCACCACTTCCCCATTTGCTAATTTAACAGATTGTCGTGTTAAAGTGTCTTCTATTGTGCTGTATTGTGAACGTGAAGGCAGTTCTGGCTGTTGCAGATTTAGAGAGGAAAGGCACAAACCTATATTTGACATAGCGGAAAAGTTCAAGAATGCCTGGAAGATCAAATGTACTTCGACGCGCAACATGGTTCAAAGATGCAAGGTCAGATTGCATCCTGTAGTTCCATATGTGTTTGCTTTCAAAATAATCCATGGCGAAAATGATCCATGTAGGTTCAATTTTTTAGGGTAGCTCTTTGAACTAGAGGAAGGACATGGATTATCGGTTTAATGCAATTAAGATTAAGAAAATTCATCACACATTAATCCACATTCGACAAATAATACAGATGAGTAATTACAGTACTGAAGATGTATTACACGAGAAATTAGATGGAACTGCATGTGGCAGGAATACAAAAGGGAAGTTTGAACTATTCGCCCTTGTATTCTTTTTTATTTTATTTTATTTTATTTTTTTTTATAGTGCCATTAGCTTGTTGATTGTCAACATACCAAATGGTTCTGGAAGACAAGGCAAGGTTTGAGCTGAGAGTTTTTGTGCCACAAATAACATCGTGGGTCTGGACGCAGGACGCGTTCGTATACAGGCCAAGGCCATTATCACTACAAGCACCACTGCCTTTGCAGATTCATTGGTTGGCGGTTCCAACCTTTGGTCTAACAAATCTTTCAGGAGCAATTCTACATTGTCCCTCCTTGATTTTGATGATTCTTGTAGCTGGGACTCTAGCATATCTCCTGGGTGCTTTCCCATCATGACTTCGAGCGCCACCACTCCAAAGCTATATACATCACATTTATCCGTGACTCGCATAGTGTATGCAAGCTCTGCACATCAATAAAAACAAAACTGGCTACCTTAAAATGTATCCCAATAAGCAAAAAGATGAACCATAAATGTACAAATTAAGTTTACATTACCTGGTGCTATGTAGCCAAATGAACCAGCGATATCTGTCCAGTTGGATGAATCAGTACTCAATAACCTGGCTATTCCGAAATCTGAGAGACGAACCTCGAAATCAGACTCAAGCAATACATTGTTGACGGTTATGTCACGGTGCACAATTGGTGGAGAGCAATCATGGTGCAAGTAAGAAAGTGCATGAGCAAGTCCTTGCACAATTTTGACTCTAGTTGCCCAAACGAGTTCATTAACACCTTCAACTCCATACAAAGCTTTTCCCAGGCTTCCTCTTTCTAAGTATTCATAAAGCAAGAATATGCAACCCCTCCTTGAACAGAAGCCATATAGCCTTATGATGTTCCGGTGCCGGATGCTTGTCAAAGTTCGGATTTCATTCTGAAAGCTATGGAGATTGATTGCTGGAATATCATTAGAGTCTGACATGTTAAGCCTTTTAACTGCAACAACTTGGCCTGATTGCAACTCTGCCTTGTAAACCCTTCCAAACCCTCCTGCCCCAATGCAGTACTTCTCATGAAAGTCATCTACAGCCTTCACAACTTCCGCAAACGTAAACTTTACTTCCTCTTGCAATATCATTGATTCCAAACTCGCAAAGTTTTCAGAAGTGTTGACTTTGTTCAAAACGAGACTGGATTTTTTACGGAACATAAGACCAATGACAGTTGTAACCATTAATAAACCACAAACAGGCACAAGGATACCAATTAGAACTCTTTTGTTATCCTTTTTGAAATTTCTGTTGTGCCGAGGGGGTACGTTGGTCCGAGGGGGTATACTGTCTACACACGAGTCTACATACCCATGCAACCCAGAGTTTCCAACCAAAGCATTTTCTGGTGCCCATTGGAAAACGCATGGGATTCGGCCAGTCAAGTTGTTGTAAGAAAAATTAACATCACGAAGAAAAAACTTGTTGACAAATGATGGGATTTGCCCCGAAAGATGGTTGTGTGATAAATCGAGCAGCTTAAGCAGATCTAAATTGCCTAGAATCTGAGGGATCGCTCCTGTCAAGTGGTTCCTTCTTAGATTGAGCGTCAACAGAAAGTTCATATTTTCAACTTCCGTCGGAATCTCCCCACTGAGTTCATTGGACTGAAGTTGCAAAGATTCCATATTAATCCAATTGGAGACCAGAGAAGGAAGGATTTGACCAGTAAATAGATTATTATCTAAACCCAATTCAACGAGGTTGCTTAGATTGGACAAGGACAGAGGCAGTTCCCCACTGAGTTTATTGGAAGACAAGGACAAGTGGGTGAGGTTTGTATGAAGGCCAAGTTCAGAAGGGATTGATGAGTTTAAGGAGTTGTATGAAAGATTAAGGTACTGGAGCTCCCTGATTTGGCCTACAGAGGATGGAATTTTCCCTTGCAGATTATTCTTTCTCAGGTCAATACTTTGAAGACCAGAAATCAAACCTATATTGTCCGGAATCGTGCCAGAGATATGGTTATTAGCTAAACCCAATTTGACGAGGTTGTTCAGATTGGACAAGGACAGAGGCAGTTCCCCGTTGAGTTGATTGGAAGCCAGGAACAAGTGGGTGAGGTTTGTACAAAGACCAAGCTCAAAAGGGATAGAAGAGTTTAAGGAGTTGTGTGAAAGATCAAGGTACTGGAGCTCCCCGAGTTGGCCTATAGAGAGAGGGATTGATGAGTTTAAGGAGTTGTATGAAAGATCAAGGTACTGGAGCTCCCTGATTTGGCCTACAGAGGATGGAATTTTCCCTTCCAGATTATTCCTTCTCAGGTCAATACTTTGAAGACCAGAAATCAAACCTATATTGTCCGGAATCATGCCAGGGATATGGTTATTAGCTAAACCCAATTCGACGAGGTTGTTCAGATTGGACAAGGACAGAGGCAGTTCCCCGTTGAGTTCATTGAAAGCCAAGAACAAGTGGGTGAGGTTTGTACAAAGACCAAGCTCAGAAGGGATAGAAGAGTTTAAGGAGTTGTGTGAAAGATCAAGGTACTGGAGCTCCCCGAGTTGGCCTATAGAGAGAGGGATTGAAGAGTTTAAGGAGTTGTATGAAAGATCAAGGTACTGGAGCTCCCTGATTTGGCCTATAGAGGATGGAATTTTCCCTTCTAGATGATTCATTCTCAGGTCAATACTTTGAAGACCAGAAATCAAGCCTATATTGTCCGGAATCGTGCCAGAGATATGGTTATTAGCTAAACCCAATTTGACGAGGTTGTTCAGATTGGACAAGGACAGAGGCAGTTCCCCGTTGAGTTGATTGGAAGCCAGGAACAAGTGGGTGAGGTTTGTACAAAGACCGAGCTCAGAAGGGATAGAAGAGTTTAAGGAGTTGTATGAAAGATCAAGGTACTGGAGCTCCCTGAGTTGGCCTATCGAAGGTGGAATTTGGCCATTCAAATTAATTTGAGACAAGTCGAGGAACGTTAAGTTCCGGCATTGAGATATAAATTCTGGGAATTCTGAATGATATAGACTATCAGGTTGCATAGACATAGCAAGGTAGGTCAATGAAGGTATGCCTGCAAATTCTGACCAATCTTGATCAGCATAGATAAAATAGTTTAATCCAAGGTCCATGTACCGTACCTTTTGGAGATTGCTCAGTTGATAGGGGATGGTACCAGAGAGACGGTTGTTGCGGAGATTTAGATAGTGAAGCTCTGTTACCTGGTCAATCTCAGATGGTATAGGCCCATGGAAATAGTTGCCATTTAGATTGAAGTGGGTGAGATTTGGAAATGAGGAAAAGTCGAAAAGGGACAGTGTTCCGAAAATTTGCATATTGGAGAGGTCTATTTTGGAGACTGTTCTGGTTTTGGAGCAGGAAATGGCAGTCCAGTTGCAGAGGCTGTTGAGGTTGGTGAGGGACCATGAATTGAGTAGCGAAGGTGGCGATGATGATAATAAAGAAGAAAAGCCGCCCTTCCATTTGACGAGCGACTCTGCTTGTTTTCTTGGAGATATTGATGCCGTTTTGATCAGTGGCAATGCGGACAGCAGCAGAAGCATATAAAGAAATGTCATGGTTTTGAGTTGCAGTATGATATGTTTTTTCGCCAGTCTGTATGCGTCACAAATAAATATGGGAGCTAGTAACAACTTTGGAGGTGCAGAGTTTCTAATCCTTTCTTTACGCTTGGAATTTCTGAAAGGATTTTCAACTCAATCAAGAGCCGTATGGTGCCAGTGTTGACTGACCCGGTCAAGCGTGGAGTTGACGCTTGGAATTTTTGAATAGTATTAGTCTTCAATATGACCACAATTGAAGGCCATGTGAATGCTACAAGGAAATTGCAGCAACCGTGACTTTGTGTTTGCTTGCATGCAATTGTGCATGTTTTATTTTCTATGCATTAAATGGCAAATGGAGAAAAAGTTGTACTCTATAACAGAAAAATTACGTATGGTATATTTATATTTATGACTAAACTTTGTATCATATATTTATATTTTTAGTTTGTACCCACTTTTAATTTGCAACCTTTTTTTAAATTTGTAGTATTTTATTTTTAGTTTTAATTTGTACCCATGTATTAATTTCTTTTTGCGCCCATATTTTTTAAAATTTCATTTGTACTCATAATTTTTTAATCTTTTATTTGTACCCTAATTTATTTATAATGTACCCGTTCTTCTTTACTAATTTACCACTTTGTTATATGTGAAATGTACCAATTTTTTTTAACACTATGGCTACATTCTTTTGCCATCTGTTTTTTTTTTTTAACACTTTGTTCTATGAGAAATGTACCAATTTTTTTTAACACTATTATTTCTTATTGTTACATAGTTTTTATCCATTTATTCAATCAAAATGTTTGAATTTTTTTATTGTAGCCGTTTTTAATAGTATCATAATGAGGGATTTTAAATTTATAGGATTATAAATGTCATAAAATATCAAACAATTAATGTCAAAACTATAAAAATATAAATATCAATAGTAATATAATGAGGTGTACAAATTCAAGGGACTTTGATCAAACTTTGAATACCATTAAGGTTTTAATCAAAGAGTGTTATGAATTAGGGACTGCATCCAAAGTATCCCCAATTTTAATTACTATATTGAAAAATGATTGGTGGTTTCTTTTCCTTTCAATTACCCCTGTGCCTGTGTGGGCGTGTGAGTGATTATATGAGTATCATTTTTTTATTAGTGGTTTATTTTCTTTTCAATTCCTCTCTATTACTCGTGTGGTATAGTTGTGACATCTCGTCCCGAAATTATCGAAAACTCACTTGTGAAATGACTACTTTGCCCCTAGTTAGTTTCTTTTACGTTATTGGTGGTTTTGTGTGGTGTTGGCAAGTGTTGGGCCACACACACACACTGTCACTCACCCTCACCCTCTGTCTTTTTCCCTGTCTCTCTCTCCCGAGCTCCATTCCTTCCCTTTCTCTTTGAAAACGTACGGACAAACCCAAAACCCCTCAAACCTTAGCAGATCGAGGAAACCAAGGCCACGTTCGAGCTCGTGGGGCTGAGAGGAGTGCAGACGTACCGTTTTCAGGTGAGAACTCTAACGTTTTCACGTCTATTCGAAGTGGTCCGATTTGAGTACTATTCATGCAAAAATAATTTAGCGCGTTTTTGGGATTTTGAAGCTCGTGGGTGACTTGGTGAGGTCCCAAGGAGCCTCGGAGTGCTTCGTTTGAAGAGTTTTGACGTTGGAATCACTGCGTTCGAACTTGGCCGGATTTGGAGTTTGGTGACAGGTGAGATTCCATCATTTTTGACCCTTAAAAATTGTATGGTCGTGTTCTACTAGTCTTAGGCTTCATTTTGGTGCAAGAATCGTGAAAAATGGTTGAAAAACGAGAGAGAAAACAAGGTTTGCAGGTTTCTCCAGTTTCGCGCCGGCGTCGGAGGCTCGCCGGAGAAGGAGACGAAATATTCCGTCAAATCTAACGGAATATTCCTGACGCCGTTGACGGAATCCGTTAGAACTAACGGAATATTCCTCACGGCGTCAATTGACGCCGTCAGCGTGCCAGGCACGTGCCTGCGCGTGGCCGGCGCGTGGGGGCGCGTGCGGCGGTGAAATTTTTTTCTAAAATTATGGGTGTGATCCTGAGGTTGTGTAGAGCACGTTGGTATATTCAATTGTCCATTTTGAGCAATGTATGAGAAGTTATTACGAAAGTTAGGTTATGTGCTTTAAAATTAACGTTTTTATAGTTATTTCGCATATAGGTGATACGTATCCCGAGGACGAGCGTGCTCACTCGAGGCAGGGGGGCTACGACCCTTCCACATACCAGTGAATGGGCTTTTGGTTTTCCGTATATACCTATATACATTTATTTTCCCAGAAATTGTTTAAAAATGGTTAATTGTTTTATGCCATGCACCATATTATTATCGTTTATGCATCATTGCATGCACTAGTAATGACATACATATACATATGCATATTTGGTGCTGTGGACGCACAGGTAAGTGCCAGGTAAGTGGTATTCATGTTTATATTCAGTAGTGGTTTGAGATACTTAGAGAGCTCATAACCTGCACCCCCGGTGTTAGTGCTCCCGCCCAGAGTAGGGCACAGTCCTTCACGTGATGTTCACCTCCCGCACCACACGCTCAGCTTGGATCCAAGTTAGGTGCACAGTCCTGTCGTACAGACCACATTAGGTGGTTCCGACTCGTAGGTGACCCGCGATTATTCGCACAGCCTTCACGTGATCGTAGCACTAGAGCGTATATATATGTTACACCCAGGCCTGTCGTACAGACCGCTTTAGGTAGTTCCGACTCGTGTGCAGGTTTAGTTATTGAGATTGAGATTTGAGCTTTAGATGCAGCCGTACAGGTCACGTTAGGTGACTCCGGCTGCCAGTTTAGATGTTATTGATTTGATTTACACCTGAGCACTTGCATTTCATTCTGAGGTTCCGACATGGCATATTCTTGAGCATGATTGGTATATATATATGTACATATGTTTATTTTCTGGGAAGTATACAGGTTTTACGGCGAGGGGTTAGAACTTATTTGTTAAATGGTTTTCGAAAAGCTTTGTTTTTGCCCACTCACGCTTTTGTTTTGCGCCCCTCCAGGTTCTAGTAGCTTAGCAGGTTCGGTGGTTTCCCAGAGGGCGTTCCCGGCATTTCTGACAGACACCCACCAGCGTAGGGTCACCTTCGGGTGTACTATTGTCGAGTCATTTTCTTTGGACTGCTGTAGACTTAATGCTCTGAACTTAGCGTCTCACTTACGCTAGCACTTGTTTTTATTACTTTGTATGCTAGTTTTTAATTATTCGTACATTTATATTACTTTTTATTAGCTTCCGCACGTGCACATGGTTACGTCACCTCCGTGTGATGGCCAGCACGCCCTGATCTCGGTCGGGGTGTGTCAATAGTGGAATTTATGAATATCATTTTTCTTCCTTCATATTTTTCCATTTTTCTCACCATGATTTGTAATTCTTTTTCTTTGCTGCTAGACCAAGTGGTGTCCTTATCCGGGTTGTGAATATGCTGTTAATTTTGTTGGTGACAATGAAAATTATGATGTATCTTGCCTCTGCTCCTATGGATTTTGCTGGAATGTAAGTTTCCTTTTGTAACTTTTGGTATTTAATATCTCAGCGAAAACTTATCTATATAGGTGAGTCAAATTTTGTTCTGGCTGTGCAGTGTACAGAGGAAGCTCATCGTCCTGTCGACTTTAGCACTGTGGAGAAATGGATTTTAAACAACAGTGCTGAGTCTGAAAACATGAACTGGTTTGTATTTTCTCTTAGCATCCAAAATTGTATTTTGTGGTTTTACACTTTTACTGAATGCATTTCTCTTTTGATACGTTTATTGGCTTTCTGGTTGTTTCCATGGTAAGAATACCCCTTCATTATGTGCTTGTCATAATTAGAGTATTATGTTTTTCTTCTCCTTCTCTAACCTTTATTTCTCACTAATTTTCATGTGCTGAATCGATAACTTCCACTACTTTTGGTATGCAAGGGAATTTAATGTGATAAATTGTGGGGAATATTAACTTTTTTGGTAATTGGTTTCATGCGCGAGTTACGCGTGTGTGCATGGGTTAGTGTGTCTAGCGTCTGAAATCCTCTTAAATTTTTTCCTCAGGCCATGTTTGGTAACTCGGATTGGATTAGGAGGGAGGGTTAGATTGCTTTGGATCATGTTGGATAACATTAATGCAATGTTATGTTTGGGTGCTACACAGGATACGAGACTCTGAATAAACTAAAATATGGTCGTTTGAATTTAATTTTCATGGTCCGGTGTAGGGCTCAGTGCTGGGTCACTAGTCCTGTAATGTCTGGAAGTATATTAATTAATTATGTTGAATTGAGTGGTGCAAAGTGAAAACATGATTAGTTTTAGTTTCAGATACACCATTGAAAGTTAACTTTTATTAACACTTTTATGTGAGTTGGTGGAATTCTTGGTAATTCATGTTTCGTTTTGTATTGTTCTGTCCTAACCTTTGTTGATGATGCTCAGGATACTGGCCAATTCTATCCTATTTTTACTTGAAATATATTTTGCTAATTAAAATGTGGTCATTTTTTGTTTCAAAGTCATTAAACATGTGTACAATCCATGTTTGGAAAATGTTTTGTCTAAATTATTAGAAAATCATGGCAAAAAAGTATATTAATGCTTGAGGAAATTTGATGGGCTGGGAATAAAGGTGTGTGGAGCTAGTAACAACTTTGGAGGTGCAGATTTTCTAATCCTTTCTTTACGCTTGGAATTTCTGAAAGGATTTTCAGCTCAATCAAAGAGCTGTATGGTGCCAGTGTTGACTGACCCGGTCAAGTCTTCCCGTCAAACGTGGAGTTGACGCTTGGAATTTTTGAATATTATTAGTCTTCAATATGACCACAATTGAGACCATGTGAATGCTACAAGGAAATTGCAGCAACCGTGACTTTGTGTTTGCTTGCATGCAATTGTGCATGTTTTATTTTCTATGCATTAAATGGCAAATGGAGAAAAAGTTGTACTCTGTAGGCTAGGGATAGAAAGGGGTGCATGCTAGGTAGGCTAGGTGTTGATTATGTTACGTGAACTTCAGACTTTTTGGTCTTCGAAAGTGGGAAGGTAAGCATCATAGAAGCATCCAAGGGGGAGAGTATCCGACTCTCCCTTTGGAAAGGTTGACCATGGGTTGAGAGAAAATCAAGGTAGCTAGAGTGAAAAGTATTCTAGTGAAAGAACTGAGGCTCTTGGAAAAATTATGCGAGTAGGTGTACAGGGGTTTGGGATTAGAATTGGATTATGTCGATTTAACTCATGTGTAACTTGTACTGTTATTCTCATAGTAAAGAGTAATATCTCTCTAGGGACATAGACAGGTTTTTTCCGAACCTCGTAATTCTCTCGGTGTCGTTATTTCTTGTATTTTAAATTATTCAACCGTGAGTTTGTATTTTGGTGAGGTTGTAGTCTGAATCTCATTTCCGCACTAACGAACGGGCCAAGACACAACCGGTGACGCATATAATATCCAACATGGACGTCAAGCATGTGCGTTGAGGCATGTAAACGTATGTCACACACGAAGACGGGGTGCAGTCTCTCCTGTCGCAACTCCAAGATTTGATACTACGTACCCATGTTTCTTCAAGAAATGCCTCTACTGTGGCAACACAAAAGAAGGAATGTTGAAGGCCATGCGAGTGGACCTTTCTAATCCTTGCAAGTGCCTGTAGTAGTATATACTTTCTATTACTGCTCAAATTCATGGAAATAATTATATTTGTACCTTAATTTACAATATTTTTGTCATCTAGACCTGAACTGAGAAAAATTAATAAAGTTGGACAACTTTATTAATTTTTCTTAAATTTTTTTTATAAATTCAAGTATGAGACATGTTGTTGAGCTCTTAAGGAACGTTTGTTTGCCTTCATTAAGTGGGACTGGAGACTAGATTAGGTGTTACTGTAGTCCCATGTTTGTTAGAGGAATGGACTAACTTTAGTGGGATTAAACCTCACTCGCCTCGACTATGGGGCTCGCTAGATAGTCTTAGCAAGACCCCCCCCAACCACCACCGGATTGCTAAGACACTTCTTTTCTCTTGCGTTGTCCCACTCGACTCCTCGCTCTGCTCGACTCCTCATCCTGCTTGACAACTTTGCTGGACCATCCCAAGACCACCGTCGCGTCCTCGTAAATCACAGCTTCCTCTGCCACTTTCTCTTCTTAGTTTTCTTCAGTTTTGTTTTGAAGATTCGTCAAATTATTAATGGGTTTTGATAGATTTTTGTTTTTGATCGATTTGTTTAATTGATTTCTCATATTTGATTGGTTTCTGGGTTTTGATTGCTACCCATTTGTTTTCAATTTATCTGCTATTTTTCCTTTTATGAATTGAAATACAAAGTCGTTCTATGTAAATTGTGATATGTTTTGTTATTAACTCATTAATTTCTGCTGGTATATGATCTTTTCCAGTTAATCAATACCTTTTACATTAAGGCTTATGGTAGTCTTACAAAAATCCAACGAATTGAGTGGAACTGTCGGTGAGGGTGAGGGTGAAACCAATGTTCAAGAAATCTTATACAAGGCTCGTTCATCTTCTAAACTGCAAATTTGGTTCTATTTACTATCAATTTGAGTCAATGAAAGTTTGATAAGTCTCCAAGTTGCAAAAGCACCTGTAATTCGTGAAGAAGAAGAGGGCTATACCCTTTTATTTTTCCATATATTCATTTTGATATTTTTAATAAAAAAAATAAATTAAAATATTGAAATAATAATAATTTATTGTTAGTCTAGCTTCTTAGTCCAACGCTACACCAAACGCTTCATTAAGCCAGTCCAGTTTAGTCTAGTCTAATCCAATCCAGCTTAATTCCTAAAGCTAGTCCTGTCCGAGACAGTCCGGTGCAACAAACGCACCCTTACAGTCTAGCCCGTGTTTTTTCACTTCTTTAGGTGTAGATTTGAACTTAATAAAAGATTCAAAAGCGATTTTATTTTGTCTATTTATAGAGATGCAAACCCAAAGTTGTACAATAAATCTGAAATGTTTTTGGCTACCCAAGATTTGAATTATTATTAATAATAATAATATAAAACATCTATAAATGTCCTTAAGATTGGCTTTTCAATAACAATATCAAAGAGAACATGTTAATGTATCAACTTTATCAAACGTCTATCTCATTACTTTGTATCCTTTTGAATAGAAAACTAATGTTATCATGATAAAAAAGTCATGTTAAAAAAAATGGTGTTATCTATGTGTTTCAGTATTCAATAATGCCAGGTTGACAATTTTAAGCAGAAATTAGGTTCTCATTTCTCCTTTTGTTACTCTATTGATTAAAATTTTATTCCTTTTCAATTTTTGATCAAGATCCTTGGGTATTAATAACATCATTAATTATTTTAATAATAAAATATTTTTTATTTCTAAATATATTCATTTAGTGTTAAAAATGTTACAATTAGTATATTTATATTTATGGCTAAATTTTTTATCATATATTTTTATTTTTAGTTTGTACCCATTTTTAATTTGCAAACCTTTTTTAATTTGTACCAATTTTCTTTTCAGTTTTAATTTGTACCCACATATTAATTTATTTTTTTGCCCATTTGTTTACCAGCATGTGACATTGTATAGTTAATCAATGATAGAAAAATTACATATGGTATATTTATGTTTATGGCTAAACTTTGTATCATATATTTATATTTTTAGTTTGTACCCACTTTTAATTTGCAACCTTTTTTTAAATTTGTAATATTTTATTTTTAGTTTTAATTTGTACCCATGTATTAAACTTTGAATTGTCGTCCTGTCGACTGTAGCACTGTGGAGAAATGGATTTCAAACAACAGTGCTGAGTCTGAAAACATGAACTGGTTTGTATTTTCTCTTAGCATCCAAAATTGTATTTTGTGGTTTTACACTTTTATTTAATGCATTTCTCTTTTGATACATTTATTGGCTTTCTGGTTGTTTCCATGGTAAGAATACCCCTTCATTATGTGCTTGTCATAATTAGAGTATTATGTTTTTCTTCTCCTTCTCTAACCTTTATTTTTCACTAATTTTCGTGTGCTGATTTGATAACTTCCACTGCTTTTGGTATGCAAGGGAATTTAATGTGATAAATTTTGGGGAAATATTAACTTTTTTGGTAATAGGTTTTATGCGCAAGTTACGCGTGTGTGCATGGATTAGTGTGTCTAGCGTATGAAATCCTCTTAAATTTTTGCCTCAGACCATGTTTGGTAACTCGGATTGGATTAGGACGGAGGGTTAGATTGCTTTGGATCACGTTGGATAACATTAATGCAATGTTCTGTTTGGGTGCTACACAGGATACGGGGCTGTGAATAAACTAAAACATGCTCGTTTGAATTTACTTTTCATGGCCTAGTGTAGGGCATGGTGCTGCGTCACTGGTCCTGTAACGTCTGGAAGTATATTCATTAATTGTGTTGAATTGAGTGGTGCAAAGTGAAAACATGATTAGTTTTAGTTTCAGATACTCCATTGAAAGTTAACTATTATCAACACTTTTATGTGAGTTGGTGGAATTCTTGGTAATTCACGATTCATTTTGTATTGTTCTGTCCTAACCTTTTTTTAATGATGCTCAGGATACTGGCCAATTCTAAGCCATGTCCAAAGTGCAAGCGGCCTATCGAAAAAAACCAAGGATGTATGCACATGACATGCACACCACCCTGCAAATTTGAATTTTGCTGGTATGCTTTCTGCTTCTGTTTCTTACTTCAATGGAAATTTATTATTGTTTGAAAAAAATATCTGAATACTTTTCTTTTGATTCTGTTCTAATATGGTTAAGTTTTACATGTGATGCTAAATGAATTATATGTACCGTGCAGGCTTTGCCTTGGTTCATGGGCGGAGCATGGTGAAAGGACGGGTGGTTTTTATGCATGTAACCGCTACGAGGCAGCTAAGCAAGAGGGAGCTGTAAGGATGATTTATGCTTTTCTTTGTAGTAATTCTGTTTAATTTCCCCTTTTGGAAGAATAGCATTCTTTTTCTTCTATTACTTAGAGTTTGTATTATTGATTGTAGTATGATGAAGCTGAGAGAAGAAGAGAAATGGCAAAAAATTCTCTGGAGAAATACACTCATTATTATGAACGTTGGGCAAGCAATCAGCTGGTATTCACAATTTTCTTTTTCAAAATTCCGCTGTTTCTTGTGCTATACCATGAATTCATGCAAGAGATCTTCATCATGCCAATTTTTAACAAATTCAGTTATGTTAGTAGCCTGGCTGTGTTTTTTGTCAGTGACCTTTTTCTCAATGATCAGAGAAGATATTGCTTCTCTTGACACTTATTTGATTACACTCTGGGTTTCTATTTCAATTTTCACCGAATTTGTTGCAGCAAACAGTAGTAGGAAGGTAGACACCTGTGCGTGACTTCAGTTTTGCAGGGACTGCATAGGAGGGTGGAAGCTTCCTTAAATTAGAATCAAGAATTTTCTGTGCATTATTCTTCCATTTTACGAATTTAATTGGCTAAGCCTTAATGCTGCTTTAAAATGGATCTTTATGAAAGTCCTTCTCTCTTTCAATCATTGACTAATTTTTTTTCTTCCTTGGCAGTCGAGGCACAAGGCTCTTGCAGATTTGAATCAAATGCGAACTGTGCATGTAAGTCTATGTGCTACATGCACACATACATATATACGAACAAAACATATATACATGATTTCATGTATTAGCGATTTTCATTCTTGGATGAAGTTCAAATGTGTTTAACAGTATGAGCTTAGAGCTCATCTTTCTACTCCATTGTATAACTAGAACCATATATAAACTTTGCAGATCTGAAATATTATTGATCAGTTGTAATCGACCATGTTGCTAATGACAGATGCTAGGAAGATTGTATTCGTAATTGACCATGTTGCTAATGACAGATGCTAGGAAGATTGTACTTACTCTATTCATAGATGCAAGGCTAGAAATTAAGTTTGTGTAGGGTTAACAGCATAAACATGAGATTTTATGTGTTTTCACCTTTCAGAAATTAGACTTGATAGAATAGAAAAATTGACCATAGTTGTGTTTCTCATCTTTCGAGCGGATTGTAGAACTAGAACCGTAGTTGTGGTTGTTGGAACTGTGTTTTCTGTGGGACTTGGAGTCCCACATCGCCCAAACATGTTTCTCATTTAGTCTTTATAAGTGAGTTCACTCACTTATAGTTTGAAAAGAATTGGGCCAAAGCCATGGACCTTGGGCCTTAGAATTGGAGAGTTTGGGTGTATATATTAAATGTCAAAGAGTACATGAGGTTACTACAAGAAATGATGACGATAATCATGCCTCAACTTCGAGAGTTCAAATCCAAGATTTGGAACCACGAAAGAGTAAAAGAGCAAAAATTGCAAAGGATTTTGGTCCTGATTTCCTCACTTTTGTGACTGAAGAAGAGCCTCAAACTTATAAGGCTGCATTAGAATCGTCTGAAGCACCTTATTGGAAAGAAGCTATTCAAAGTGAAATAGAGTCCATCATGCAAAATAATACATGGGAATTGGTTAATTTGCCTCCTGGAAATAAACCAATAGGACACAAATGGATTTTCAAGAGGAAATTGAGACCGGATGGTACCATAGACAAGTATAAGGCTCGTTTAGTTGCCAAAGGGTATTGTCAAAAAGAAGGACTTGACTATTTTGACACTTATTCACCAGTAGCTAGAATAACATCTATAAGGTTATTAATAGCTATAGCGTCTGTGTACAATCTTGAGATACATCAAATGGATGTCAAGACTGCATTTCTAAATGGTGAATTAGACGAAGAAATATATATGGATCAACCTGAAGGTTTCATTGTCAAGGGTCAAGAAAAGAAAGTTTGTAAGTTGATTAAATCATTATATGGACTCAAACAAGCGCCTAAGCAATGGCATGAAAAATTTGATCATAATATGATTACGAATGGATTTGTAATCAATGAAAGTGATAAATGCATTTATGTTAAGAAAACGAAAAATGCTTGTGTTATTGTATGTCTATATGTTGATGACATGCTTATAATGGGAACAAACAAAGATGTGATTAACTCCACAAAGAAAATGCTAAATTCCAGTTTTGACATGAAAGATATGGGATTAGCTGATGTGATTCTTGGAGTTCGAATTCTAAGGAATCCAGATGGATATGTCCTAACTCAATCACATTATGTGGAAAAGGTTCTAAGAAGGTTTGGACATTATGATTGTAAACCTGCAGTAACTCCTTTTGATCCCATTCATAAACTTACTAAAAACGAAGAAGATAGCGTATCTCAATTGGAGTATACCCAAGTTATAGGTTGCTTGATGTACATTATGAATTGTACAAGACCTGATCTTGCTTATTCAATAAGCCGACTAAGTAGGTATTCAAGTAATCCTGGAAGAGATCATTGGAATGCTTTAATAAGGGTATTAAGATATTTAAAGCATACACTAAACTATGGTTTGCATTACACTCAATATCCCCCAGTATTAGAAGGATATAGTGATGCAAATTGGATTTCAGGGAGCACAGACAGTAAATCCACAAGTGGATATGTATTTACACTTGGTGGAGCAGCTGTGTCATGGAAATCATCCAAGCAAACATGTATAGCACGTTCGACAATGGAATCAGAGTTTATAGCTTTAGATACAGCTGCTGATGAAGCTGAATGGCTTAAACATTTTCTGGAAGATATTCCATTCTGGCCCAAGCCTGTGACTGCAATATGTATACATTGTGACAGCATGGCTGCACAAGGTCGAGCCAAAAACGCTGAATATAATGGGAAGTCGAGACATATAAGGCGACGACATAAAACCATTAGACAATTACTCAAGAATGGAACTATTTCCATTGATTATATTAAATCTAAGGAGAATATTGCCGATCCTTTGACAAAAGGCCTATCCAAGGATCAAGTGGCATTTACATCGAGGGGAATGGGTTTAAAGCCAACTCAATGAGTTATAACTTGACGGAAACCTAACCTAGCTAATTGGAGATCCCATGGTCTAGGTTCAATAGGCAAACTAGTTGAGGAAAACTCAAAGTAAACAACACAATCTTTACTCATTCTTATGATGGAAAACAGTGTGTTGCCTGTTAGACGAAAAGGGTGAATAACTATTCTTAATAATGCTAATATCTTATGATTAAGATGAATAGAACAGGATATTCTTCATTAGCATTACCTATATGAGATTGATGTGGGGTCGCATCTTTGAGAATTGGTATGGCTACAATTCTCTAAAGGTCTCATGAAACCAGGATATGTTCAGGACCAAAATGAACACAACCGTATGAATTGACGTGTGTCAAGATGTGATATGTGTGATACTTATTGTTTCGATTTTACTACAAAGAATGATCAGTTCAAGATAGAAAATTCACTGCTTCATTATGTAAAACCGGTAAGTACTCACTAGAGAAGGTTCAAGTCCAAAAGACACCTATCCCGATGCGTATCATATCTAAGTTCTCTGGAAGTACATTACTAATGTCACTAGTATCTTATTTTCAATTCAAATGTGGGGTATTGCTAAAGTTTGAATAGAAAATGTGGGGTATTGTTGGAACTGTGTTTTCTGTGGGACTTGGAGTCCCACATCGCCCAAACATGTTTCTCATTTAGTCTTTATAAGTGAGTTCACTCACTTATAGTTTGAAAAGAATTGGGCCAAAGCCATGGACCTTGGGCCTTAGAATTGGAGAGTTTGGGTGTATATATTAAATGTCAAAGATGGGCCTTGGGCCTTGGGGCTCTTGGGCTCGGATGGACGAAAAACACAAGTTACGTTTTTGATTTTTTGGATTCGGTTTTTGACAGTTATGATCAGTTTTTGTGAAAGGTTGCATTCAGTTTTCTTTTTACAAAAACTTGATAAGAATGAACGGTTGGAGAAGTTCAACTGATGCCATTATATATATGGCAATAAAACTCAGAAACCAGTATCAAGTTTTCCAGATTTATACCTTCATATTCCGCTGAGAACCACACAACCAATTTCGCCAAGAATCCAAGTTCGAGTGCAAGAACTTGGATTAGATAGTTGTATCCTGCAAGATAGACGTCCATCGAACTGCTGCACAAGTGTAGGGACGAGTTTCTGTCTTAGGAGATTGCTCTGCAAGCCTCTATCGTCTAAGAACAAGTCAGTGATTTGTGTTTCTATATATAATTACACTAAGTGTTTATGTTTTAATATATTGTGTTTGTTGTTGCGTTTTACCATTTGTAATAAAACTGTGCAAATTTGTTGTATAACACATACTTAACATTTGATTGTTTCTAACAGTGGTTGCACTTGCACCCTCTCATGTCAACTGGTAGACTTTGACAGTGTAAATTAAAAAAATCATCCTTTAGGGACGCTATATGGATGTCTCATTTGCATTTGTCGAAGATGTTACCTTTTTTTTTTTTTTTCCACATCCAGGAGTAGGAAACTTATGTCTGAGTGTGTAAAGGAGATAGAATTAGTGTCCGTAGGTGGAGACAGGTTATGACTTGTGAGACAGTCAGTGGCTCTTCAACTATCTCGGTCATTAAATCAGAGATTCATGTTTAGTAGCATGCAATATTGGCTCCTTTATGGAATGTGTGGTAGGAAGGAAATGGCGGGTTATTCTTTTTTTGACAGAAGGCAAGGAAGTGGATATACTTAGAGATAGTATTAAATCTTTTGTTTCCTTTTAAAATCTCTGTTAAAGCATTCAAGAGATTCAGTGTATTTTATCTTGATTGGGTTTCTTCAGTTAAAAAAGGGTAGTTTATGTTTCTTACTGAAAAAAATCATCGATTGCTAGAAGATGTTGGGTATGATTGTTTCAACCGGACTCTTGTCAGCTATTTGGGATTTCTATGAAGTTACTATGTAATAACTGATGAATACGTTGTTTTTCTCTCTCTCAGATGGAGAAACTTAGTGACATACAGCGCGAGCCTGAGTCTCAGCTCAAGTTCATAACCGATGCCTGGCAGCAGGTGAATTCCTGCGTTTCTTGTTAGATATAAAATGAATTAGTTTAGTGCACAGTGTACGTATAACATGAAATCAGATTTGTTTGGTGATGAAATGCTGACATTATTTTTGCCTTTTTTTCTTTGTGTTTGTAGATTGTTGAATGTAGGAGAGTTCTAAAATGGACATATGCTTATGGGTACTACCTGCCAGAGCGTGAGCAAGCGAAGAGGCAGTTTTTTGAGTACTTGCAAGGTATTAACTGTGTATATCTGCAGGAACTAGTTAGGAGTTGTTTTATAAGTTTTCTGAAATATTCAATTCTGCTTTTGTCTTCAGGTGAGGCAGAGTCTGCTTTGGAAAGGCTTCATCAGTGTGCAGAGAAGGAGCTACTGCAATTCCTTAGTGCAGAAGGCCCATCGAAAGAATTCGTTGATTTCCATACAAAGCTAGCTGGACTTACCGGGTAAATATTGTGATGAAATATTAGTTGAAATTCAATTGCCATGGAATGTTTAGTGTTGAAATGTGTCTTGTCCAAAAAAACAAATGGAGTTATGTGTAAATAAAGAGGAAATCTCTGATCTGGTTAACCGCACTGAATTTCCTAGTGTATAGTTGTCTGTTCAACATTGTCTGGATGCAAAATGCAGCAAATGAAAAGGTCGAATCAGTGAGTCTTTAGTATAGGAACTGGAAGGAAGACAATATCCTTTTCTGAGTGTGCGAATGAGTGAGTCTTTAGGATAGGAACTGGAAGAAGACAGTATCCTTTCATTTTTCATGTAATTTACTTGCGGATTTTTTTATTTTTATTTTTTAAATTGATTCACTCCCTTGCCTGATTCAATCTTCTCATCCATTTCCCAATTGTGACAGGGTGACTAAAAGTTACTTCCAGAACCTGGTAATGGCATTAGAGAAAGGCCTATGTGATGTGGACTCTCAAGCAGTTTGCGGTGGGTCAACAAGCTCAAAAAACGTAGGAAGCAGCAAAGCAAAAGGTGGAAGGGGATGTTGAATAAGAAGAGTATCCAAGATAACTCTAATGATCCCAAGAAGAAGATATAGAGCACACTCTTAAAGAAAGCTCACAAAACAAACTAATTAGCAAAGCTTCTCTTATTTAGCTCTAGGCTTTGTTTTTCCTTGGATGATATACAATGCTTGGGGACTTGGGTATTTATAGCAAACCAAATGAAAGCTACACCACACACTTACTTTACCTACAACATCCACCTACTTCACCTACAACCTCCACTTACTTCACCAACCTCACACACTTACTTCACTTACAACATCCACCTACTTCACCTACAACCTCCACTTACTTCACCAACCTCACACACTTACTTCACCTACAAATGACATTGATTCTCAACACTCCCCCTCAATGTCAGCTCTCATTCTTTGCACTGTGCTGAGTAAACA